TGTTTTATCGCTAGAAACGATTTATGCTGCCGTCATTCGACCTTACTTGATCGCATTTTTTAAATTGAAATGATTTCATATTGCATCACAACTTCAACAGAAACAATTTCATATCGTGTTACATAATTAGCCCACAGTTCAGTTCAGTTTCAGTTCCCCGTAGCCTGCAGCAACAATACGTAAACACTTAAATACTTTCACGGAGACATTGTCAGATCTCGTTATATAAAAAAAATAATGTATTAGCACTGGCAATGAAATGTAAGGTGGCAACACTGAGAAGTAGTTTTATGGATGGATTGAACTGACAGCGAGAGAGAGAGTTGAAGGTTAGAGTTATTATTATTAAACAAATAAGAGAAATGTAATTGTAAATGTTGGAGGCATAAATAACAAATAATATACCATTATTTAGAAAGTGCAAAAGTATTCATATATTATTAATAAATATTTACATTTATAATTAACACAAATGACCCTACCAGTAAAGCAATAATTACTACATTAAAAAGGGTCGATGACCAAGCATTGAACAATGGAATTTTGACTATACTATTTAACCGGTGAACCATAAGATTCATAAATCAAAATGTTACTATTTTTATCTTATAAATATCATTATATACAGCATTTCTAATCATTTCAATTCCTTAAACTGGATATTAACAATTACTAAAGTCGACAAAAAAGATTATCTGGGAAACTACTGTTTATACTAAACAAAGCATACGAATGGTATGTTACCCTTTTAAATCCTATTCAATATGAAGTACTAACTAAATTATCGCCTACATGAAGCCCTTTGTTCCGCGTAAAACAATGTGACTTTGTATCAATTACAGTGAGAACTTTAGAATCAATACTACTAATACGGATCCAAAGAGTTCGTTGTTCATCTAAATAGTATTAATTGACAACAGAATCTAAATGATGGATGACTAATAACCAAATAAATAAAGATCAAATGGACATTCAAGTGGCACAGTAGTTACATACAATACAGAAGCCTTAAATTATTCAGCCGTGTCTGCCTATTAATTTGCTATTAGTTAATTAAACATACCACTACAGTCAAATCAACAAGAGCATAACGTCACAAACAGTATTACTAATTGTTCTGAGATAAATGTTCTTGATCTACTAAGTATAATTTTCAGCTCGTCTTAAAAATATTGTAAAAAGACGATATATAGGTTTTTGTCTTAAAAATGACGAATTATAATCAGTTAGATAAAGGAACGACATGAAAAGCTATTTTCGTGATAGCGAAAGTGGAAGTTTAGTACGGAAAGTATTGTATACCTGAACACCTCTATAGACGATCGATACAATATGTTTCGATTATTTGAGAATCTTGTAAATAGTATATATTTAGTTCGGTTTGTTTCACCCGATCGTGGATTGAATACACTGTTTGAATTGGAAGGAATAGTATCAGAAGGTTCGGCAAGGATCCATAACAAACCGACAGCCCTTGCTTGTTATACCTATATCAACGTGTTATGAAAATACCGATAGATGTGTTAGTGCAATGGCGACACCCATTTAGTAAACATGCAACGTGAGCCACGTACTCATCGTCTTACCCTACCGGTAGTGACTTTGATACAATTTTACGTGTAAACATATTTGCTGCACATGAACATGTCGCATTGTTCATACGATACAAATGTAGCTGGTGCAAATAGCTCATGTATACTGTGCGTCCGTTATTAATTAGCGAGCATAGTTACTAAAATAATTATATCACGACACTGATATGTGTATACATATGCTAGATTAAATTAAATATATCCTAAAGTAACATAGCATTTGTTATCAAGATCAAGACGACGACTAAAATTTAATATACACAAATCGAGGGAAATATTCAACGTATTGGAAAATAATATAATAATTTTGTCTAATTACTCAATTGATTGAATCCTAGCGTGGTCTTTTTTCTTTCCTTTCTTATTGTGTTCTTCTATATCTCTACCGTGTTATTTTCTAAACAAACATTTTTCTTGAAATACGCAATATATACTTTTCGAGTGACAGGCCTCTTTATAATACATATAATCACAGTAAATCATCTATTTTCAATGATTCAAAAATCGTCGTTCTATTATTCCGGAATCAAAATTCATCGGTACCTGCATCATGATATTTTTGCGATATACGATAGATAAGAGAACATTACTGGAGATCGAGAAGCGGTTTGCCGACTTCCTACGTGTAGCGTCATGACCGGCTGTGGAACTGGGGTCCGGACCCAATCGCCCACGAGTCCGTCGCAACTCGCAATACCTGCTGCGGTTTGCTAATTTTATTTTACACTGTTTACAAACTCGTTTGGAGGGCGGGAATGCCGTAAGATTGGCAACATCTATTTTACCTGTAAAATTACCTACAGCAAAAACACAAAAATCTTTGAATATTAATATTAAAATGGAATTTTGCTGTTGTGCATTAAAATTTAAATTAAATTAAATATAAAACAAATACATTATCTCGGTACGGCGAATGTCGAAAACAACGTTCATATCTGTTTTTTTTTTAAAGCAAGTGTGCATATGATTGCTTGTAATCAATGTGTATATAGATTGCATTCAAGAGTACTTAGAAACCATGACAGATAATGTAGCCCAGTAGGTCCGTTTATTATGATGGGCTAACGGCCTTTTCCGACTTCGTCCTCGTCCCATTATCTCCCACTGGTGTTTCACTAGCGCGCCTATATGGTAGCTTACTACATTATTATTCTTCAAAAGAAATTTACATCTATACTTTCTAGTATAGTTCAACATTTAATGTGAAATATATTTTCATATCAGTTTTTATACGCAATTTGTAACGAACGAGTACCAAAATACCCAAAGTCTACAGTGTTTACTCTGTTAAAGTAAGTCAACTTACACATGTGTTAACAAAAGCTTCTTTGAATAACAGCTCCCTTTTTATTAAGAAATACAATATTTAGTAAGACAAATGATCAAAGCTGTTAGTGACTGAAATGTGTGACGGACGGTAAGGTTAAAATTTCATTTCATTATGAAGTCGAGTATATTTGTTTTATCCTACTCATCCTTCGTTTACTTTAAAATAAGGATGAGTATTAGCTGTTACGTACTCTGTGTTCGCGTCGAAGTTGAAGTTTTCATGATTCAGCAAAAATCTTAGTGGATTGCTCATTTTCTAAATTTCGGCTTTCAGACTTTTTTTCCACAGACAGACTCCGTGCTCTTATTATGGGGCGACTTAAATTATTAGGTTTTCCAGACTTAGTAATTGTGCCTGTGTGCAGTCAGGTAACAATAAGATATTTTATAAGAATACTCGTATATGGTTTCCGTTTTTTTTGTTAACAATATCATATCCAAATTGTATGGGATAGACATGTACTTAGTGTTCTCTATGAAATATGTAACATGTAGATTTAGTTAACAGAGCAATATAACTGATTTACTGGGTCCACCAAGTCTGCAATAGAGTTAATGAAAAATTGAAGTTAAGATGTCAGTATACTTTAGAATTGTAAAGTGAATAATGGTGCGCCCATTATCCTCCAATGTTATTCCAGATGCGGGCTGTGTAGATCACTCAATACAATATTCATTTGTTCATTCGAACTTTTGTAACTGTGCTAATAATCGGGGGCCTATTACTGAAAGATAAAATAGACAATGCTAAATCTGTTACTTTAAGGGACTTCCTATTGTGAGCCTGTACATTCCTCATATTGTCTTTCATAATTTAACAAGAAACTATTATTCCGAACGCGTCTTCCTACCTGTGCTTCGTAGTATTAGGAATACCAAAAGTTTGTAACTTTTTTGTTGTAATGCGATCGGAATAAAACAAACAATATTAAGTTTACAGTAAAAACCGTGTCCAAATAGGTTAACCTTTTTCGAATTAACACGCATAACCCTACAGACAAATACACAAACATTCTAACAATCATTACGTTAATACATTTCTCCAATAATGGTTTTATAGTATATAATCCCATATACTATAAGAGTTCAGTAATATTTTTATTAGATGTGTTGTGGACATAAGTTAACATTCGAATTTACTCCTAAACACTAGTTATAAGATTTTTATTACATTGACGTCATACGTCAATTGTCAATGGGCTAAGCGTCGTCTGTAGTATTGAGTGATATCGTGGCCGACAATGGCGGCTCACGTTTGGTTAGTACGGATATAGCACCACTTTGAATTATAATGCGCATTGTTCTTCGCGCCCGCGCTGCCGCCCCGCCAGTTTGGGTGCAATGCACTACGACGCAATAGTTACTTGTCATAGAAATCGTTGGTTTCCACTTGGACTTATTTCAGCAGCAAGGCCGAGTTATCAACAAATCAAAGGTTGACAGATAGAGCTAAGCAAATAAGTTAAAACATATTTCTGTACATGGTCAAATGTTGCAAAGTTAAATAATGTAAAAGTTAATCTCTACGTATGGTCTCCTTGAGCGAGATCGCACATGTAGATTCTAGGTTAGATCAACGGTACTTGCAGACACGACGCGAGTTGGTACGCCAGCCCCTGTCAGTACTCGTTTTTGACCACACGTGCGCATGAAAATTAAATTCTCAGATGGCGTTGGCCAATAACTAGGAATAGCTAAACGAGGATGGTTCTTATTACACTTTGCATCTGACATTCTAGTTTTATTGTAGTAGTCAGCAAAAGTACACACTGTAGCGAACTCCGAGAAAGTGGGTCTGTTACATCAAAATACAATTACTATGATAGATTGACTCAAAACCTTCGGCGTTTTGATTTCAACGAATATTGGCAATGGCATTGACAGCTCATTGTCGACTCTGACCTACTCTGACAGTCATTGACAGCATCTGCATTTGTAGGAATATTTTTTTGTATCTATAAGCTTTACATGTTTAACGCTATATTAGAAAGTTTATCATAACTCGTACTAAGAAATGGGCTTTAAATCTTAAAATCATTACACTAAAAAATGCTAACCATTATTTCACAATACACCTACCTCTTCCGGGACCTTTTCTGCCTCTCCATTAGTTTTAGGCTCCTCTTCTTTTTGTTTCTTCTCCTGTTTCGGTTTATCTTTTCGGCTGAAACTGATAGATCTGAGCGACCATTTCTTCTTGACCTGTCCGGGACATCGTGCTAATGTTATTACACATCAAATTACGCAAACACATGCTAATACATGTTAGACATTTGTTAATAATTGTCTTTAAATATATTATGCTTTGCTACTTTGTAAACTATAATTATTAATGTGAATCAAATTACATTCCTTATAATAACATGTCTGTACTAATATAGATAAGTAATGAGAGTTAGATAAAGTTATCGGATTTCTGAAGATGTAGTCAAAATAAACGTACCCTTTCCTTCTTCGGCTTCTTGCCATCCTCAGGCGCTTGAGGAGACTCAATGCCATTCTCTGGCTTCTGCTCCCCGCTGTCTCCATTAGTTACCGGTGCAATTTCTTTCTCCTTTTCATTATCTTGTTCCTTTGATTCCTTTTCCGTAGTAGCGTCTTTCTCATTTTCAGGTGTTCCAATTTCTACTTGTTTTTCTTTATCCTGAAATATGACTTTCTATATACTTTCGTGTAACGATGTATATTAAAAAACAGAGTTTTACAATTGTACAAGATTATTAGCTGTCCCGGCAAACGTTGTTTTGCCTTAAAATAAAAATAAAAATTTAGGGGTGGACTACCCCTAACATTTAGGGGGATGAAAAATAGATGTTGGCCGATTCTCAGACCTACTCAATAGGCTCACAAAATTTCATGAGAATTGGTCAAGCCGTTTCGGAGGAGTATGGGAACGAAAACGGTGACAAGAGAATTTTATATATAATTATAATTATAATTATATAAGATAATAATAATTGTCCGCATGATCCTATAAATTAACTGTAAAAAGTAACATTTGAACATCGCCATCCCAATAACAATGTTCATACGAAATTTCATGCTTTAAAACATCATCCTCATAGTTAGGATAATTAGATTATACCGTTTTTTTTTCACATACAAACAATAATATTCTTTAAGTTATAAACTGTAAATTTAAACAATAATTAATGACGGATGACACATATGTATCAGCACATTAACTCGAACATTTTCTTGTTTTAATAAGCGGTCGCTTCGTGTTGATGAATCATTGAGCTAAGTCTGAATCAACACGAGTTAAAGTACATTTTAAACTTTTACAGTGGGGTCACTACATGCTCATCCTGATATATTTCAGATGCTCGGGTGACACTACCGTTTGATTGTAAAATAACGTGATGAAAAAAATATTAGATATGAAGCGGTAATTAAATCATTTTACGGGAGTCTTAATGAAACGCTATAAATTACAAGCTAAATAATTTATAATGCAGTATATATTGCACCGTTAACTAAATATGCATTGTCTGTCGAAACTTACATATTCAAATTGTCGACAATGCGCGAGAAATATATCTGGCGATGCAAGTATTCATGGGTTGCAGTGATCACTTAAAATGAGACAAAGAGTATGCATTCAATATGTTTAATATCAAGTCATATTTGGTTTAGGATTCCAAGTGAAACCTGTATAGGGATCAACGCATGTAGGAATTGTTATCTATAAAGGAAGTCGTGGGACGAATGTCTACGAAGTGAATCATTAAAATTCCTCAACTGGAATATCTAATAATAGTACAAACTTTAATAAACATTGCTATATCGTAATAGAACTTTCATTATACTTGAAATAATAACACATGAATTAAGGGATTGCAAAAACAGTGTCGTTGTGGTTTTGTCAGTTTTTGTTTTTGAACCCTAAAAATTTTATTAATCAGAACCAACTTCGTGCTTTACGATTGAATTATAATAGATTCCATATCAACAAACCGTATGGCAAATATACAGTATTCATATGAATTTCACTTACCGTGTCATGTATATGGGCATCGCCGTTGAGCTGTGGTTTGACTGCATCGGAGTCGGCGATTTGCTCAACACGGCCTTCACCGCCGGCACCCGCTACTGCCACTTCTCCAGCACCCTCGGCCTCCTTGCCACTTATATCAACTGAGCGCTTGCTTTGTTTAGCACCCATCCTAGCTGCTTATCTGTAAAAAAATATTGATAAGTTTTTTCATGTCTGGTTGCTCATATTACAATGATATTGTGCTTAAACTGTTGGTAAGTGGTAATTCTAATCTGTAAAAGTAATAGGCAATTATAGATATCAGATTAGAAATATCAATCTTAATTTGTGACATATACGTGTCATAGGGGATATAAAATGTATTATTTTTAGTCTATATCCTACACAAGTAATTGTATATTTTTAACAAAACAATAGATTTACGTTTCCGATTAACAACATCTGTACCTCACTCATTTGAGCATCTAATCTATACTAGACTACGTGACGGAAATACAAAACAAGAAGTCATAAATGACGCATACTAAATAAATCTGATTCGCATTTGTGAAAGAAACATCCGGATACCCATCGTATATATAATTTGCGAGTTTCTATAACACGACTCACTTATATTTTGCTTATTATTAAATGAAACATGCTGATTTGTACAAATATACAGATGGAAAATTCAGAAGAATTCAGTCAAGTATTTTTTTTATAATTATATTATGTGTATATGATCACCGTTGTAATAAGAAGTTGATTAGTTGCAATTATAATTGTGACCGTTTTCACAACCTTTATTACATTGCAATGGGTATTTTACATTACAGTACATATTTACATTTTCGAAAACAATACTCTTGTCGTAATTTTGTGTCAAAGTATAGAACTAGGTCAAGATTAGTATATCAATAGGGATAGGAAATTCTTAAATTGAAAACTGGCAGTTATTTTTAAACCAAATGCACCTAAAACAACACAGTTGAATGGTTTTCAGACATTCAGGTAGTACCTACGTACGCATCTATAGCTGCAAAAACTGACAAAACTAACTGAATTGAGTTAAACTGACAGTCAAGGCTTAAGAGATTGTATTTAAATAAGTTTACTTTATAGAATTACGTAGTTCGTAAAAAGGGTATGTCAACGAAATTAATATGAAAACAAGACATCGCTTACAAAATAGTCATATCTCCAGCACATTCACTACGAGATTGTGCCGACTACATCGAAAGAGGATGCATATACGATATTTATAATTTTTCAGATGCTAAATTATTAAAGCTCTTACTTAAAAGTCTCTTTAAAACATGATCTGGGTTATCTTATTAATACTGAACACTTGGCCGAATTGTTAATTTTATTACTAGCGACTAACCTCGGCTCTGCCAAGCTGTTTGGTGCGGTTATATATAACAATTTGTTCTGTCGGAGATCGCCCCGGGTATCCTTGTATTATACATGTAAACCTTCCCCTTAAATCACTCTATCTATTGCTAACTGCATTAAAATCAGTTGCCTAGTTCAAAAGATTTAATCGAACAGACAGAGGAAGCGAATTTATACACTATGTAAAGATAACAATATGCAATGCGAAGGTACAGATACTATGCCAACTGATTTGGAATAGAAATCATTAGAGTAGGTCACGGTGCTGGGAAGAAGATAGAAATAAATCTTAACTGGCAAAAGGCAACTGAAATAGACTCGACGAAAGTGCATCTCATTGTTGCAACTTGCAAATGGTTCAATGTCTCATTATATGCACTATATTTATAGATATATACAATGTATAATATTATAGATTAGGTGACATTGTATAGTAGAACTAAAAGCAATTCACAAGTAATTTGAAACAGTATTTCATCAGGTTGAATGTCCGTTTAAAGAATAAAACACTTAAAATATAAATTAAGTATAGCGACTGTTAAATTGAAAAGAATAGAAAATGCAAATTTTTGATGACTGACACAGTATAATTAATATGACAAAGTAAATTAGAATCCATAACAATATTTACATTTAACAGTATCATAACATTACTCGTTACCACAGCAATGGCTGCCGGCATGTGATAGAGATTATTATTCGTAGATGGCACGTCAGTTGCGTTTGTTTTAAATGAGTTTAGTCGATATAGACAGAGCACATTATAAACTGCCGTTTTCATATTATCCACAACAAGTTCACGCACCAAAACATAGGGGACGGTCAGGGAGGAAGTGCGGTCCGATCGCCATTATTAACTAACATCCGAATAACAGAGATGAATGCATTTTATGGCCACAGTGGAGAACTTCAATTATCCACATACGCATTTTCCAATTATAATAACACATATATCCCACAGGTAACTCAATAAATTATTATTGAAACTGAAGAGTACTGGTTGTTATAAAATGTTTACATATAATAATCCGAAACAATAGCATGATCTTAAGAAAAGAAAAATCCATGATATATATATATATATATACATCTAATAAAACAGTAAAGAATTTATTACACAATGAATAAGTTTATTTCTAGTAACTTAATAGTAAAACTACTCACAGAACAACAGCTATAAATTACTAGATTTAAAAGTAAACACTGAACACGTAGCTACCACGGAGTTGAAAATGAAACTGAGAGTGCGTAGTGTAGTAAGCGCATAGTTATCGTACATTGGTCATTAGAAGCAGGCCGAATTCCTAGTGCATCGTTGAATTTATCGTTCATTATCTTACTCGTTACTCTCAATACAAACATAAATAGCAGTAACATTAGTCACGCAGTTCAATCTTATCTCGAAACGCAAACATACATTGCAGACAAAAATACCACCATACAAACGACCACACCACCCGGACTTGACTCAACAAAAAAAACTTGCGTCGCCATTTCAGCTATTCAATTTTTTTCGTAAGCTATAGTCATGAACGATAAGCAGTCAGTATGTGCACGCAGTAGATTAGTACCTATTGTAAATAGCACTTATTTATTCTGTACCATAAGCAAGTAGGTACTTTTTACGTACAATCTATTCATATTATTACTATGCTATACTAGGTTATTACGATTAAGTAACTATCTTTTGTTTGATCAGTATTAGTATTAAAGAAACGTTATTAAGTACGCCGGTCATCGCGTAGGTGCCTATATTCACTCGAAATGGTTCACGCAGTGAGTTTATTGACCTGTTTTATGCCCCCACTATGTCGTTTTTTTTTGTTCAGGCAGTCAACCCGAACTTATTGTCATCGATGGTACAATGGGAGGCACTTGGTGAGCGAGGTCGTTTTGATTTAAATAAGATCCGAGGATATCGGCGACCTTGACTTGGTTGCGTTCAAGGTCGATGGTCGGGATAGTGGGTGTAGAGTAGACAATTTCATAAACGTTCTACAAAAATGTCGAACCGTTGCATTCAAAAAAGATTAGGTATAACCACGTGCTAGTTAGTATAGACTGTACGTTGATTTCAAATACATATATGTATACCCATAAATCATCTACAAAATAATGTAAGTGTATGGTTTTTTAATTGCGACGATTATTTTTTAGTCTTACTTACATGTAGACACAATTGAAAATTTTTACAACATTGAAAATAATACCATGTTTTTAAAAAATTTAAAGACAATACCATTCAAAACGATGTGAAAATAATTTTATTATAGTATCACTAGCCTCTAAGCAAGTACCAACTAATGTAGGTAGATACGCTACGCTGTACGTGTGCGGTACTTAATACCACATTTTATTACAGTTTATTTGCACTAAACTTTCCTAAAGTATACCACAAATATTCTAGTGAAATTTGTTCCATATCACACTAATGGCAAACATTAAAGTACATACACGATAAGTACTACGGTTTCCGCTTCCAAACCGTCGACCATAGCACCTAATTAAGTCTGAATAGTAAGTGTTTATGGCGAATGATTATTACACTTAGTTTTAATATCAATTAGTTCGGAACAAGGGACAAATGCTTAGGGGTTAGTATGCGACTCACCTGGTAGTAATCAGTTTACAGCCAAGTAAACCATAAATTCATTTGTCCCCTACGCTATAAAAATACACAATATTATGGATGATTTATATATCACGCTACAGTTTATAGGTTAATATGTTAGATGCTCTAAATTTTAGAAAGTGTACATACAAAAAAAAAACAGCGGAACTGAATGTTTACGTCGACAAAAGAAGATAACGCAGCATCGTGTGTATGTTTATTAATGCATTTAATATTGATACACCACTCCATAGTATTTACTATATTTAAACGAAATGCCAGTAACATAAAGGAAACCGTAGGTACAGTACCATTGCAAGTGTAATGCAAATGCGTAGATAATACATTAATACATGCATATATGTACTTACCTGCACGCATTTATGCAGAGAGAACGCGCACTGTAATTATGCTGAGTGGAAAATCGATAGATGGCCGCCAGTTATAGATTTAACCACAATTAATTTACGATCCGAGTTAATAATTAGAGCTTTGTCCTAATAAGAGATATCTACAAAATAATCAATTCCTGATACCCGATTAAAGATGAATTTACGGCATGAGACATCTGCATTCTGGGATGAACGAAACATCTTCTAATTTACACGCTTGTAATATTACTACTTACGATCGTATATAACAGAACATTCTGATGTAATGACAATTTATAATAAAAAAATATAGTTCAGTAATAAAAACATAGTGATACGAGAACATATACCTTTATACTAATTCACATTGTATCCGTACTGTAAATTAACCATCATGAAGTTATGTTTTTTTTTCGTTTTTCGCTAAAGAGAAAACAAACTATGACAAAATACATAGCTGTACACAAAGAAAAGCTTCCAAGTAGACAGCAAGCAATACGGTTATTAACCAACACCAAACTTTTTTTCTGTATAGAAAGACCTTTCATTTGATACAGTATTGACATTACAATGAAATGTGAAAGTGTATGATATAAGTACACAGGAGAGGTGGGGATTGGCAGCAATGGTAGACCCATTGTTATTAATCCTAGTTATCAAGTCAGCAGCACAGTTCTACCTGAAAAACATCAAGGCCAATTCCAAGGAATAGAAGGAAGTACATTACTGTTTATATTATATCGTATCTCCATTCGCCACTTGAGTGTCATCTTTTCCCTATATCTAAAGTCACAAGAAAAAAATCTAAACAATGTCATCTATGTGATTTAATAAAATGATTTTGTTTGTTTGATTTTTTATTTTGTTAAAATTTTTCATGGACAGGAAATTTGAAAAATAACGTCTTATTCTCGCTAGGTACTTACTTTTTTTTTTTTAGTTGTGACAGTACTTTCGAAGATGTGTTATTTGCGTATCAGTTGATATAAATAAGTTTTTTATCGATATGTCAAATATTAGAATAAAAATGATCAATGTTACCGAACACCGTCGAAAATTGTATGCCTATAATAATTTTAAGCCGTCATCTCTGGTCATTTTTGGGCGTTATCAGCTATTTTTCGAATGCCATGACCCACGTCATTTATACTTAATTATCGAGATCAATGGACACAACTTGGCGATTGTAATTCAATTAATAATTTGACCAAGCGAGCATGCGTTATATACCTATAGTACATTCACGGAATTTTACAGTTCTCGATTCTTAAAAGCTCCGATAAGAATACAAAGAGGGACGAAACCATTATCCCTTCAGCTTTCGAGCGTTATGTTTGTGAATAGACAAAAAAGAGAAATTGCAAAAAGAATCATTGAAATACTCAATCGATATCAACGAAGGTACCTATAACCTGTAATCCAGTCGCGCATATTTCTCTCGATAATAGGTAAATAAAAGACGGTTAATTGATTATGTAGGTTGGAAATTACGATTTTTTAAACGAAGTATTTTCGTAAATAAAAATTCTATTAAATCGTAAAATATAGTTAAAGCATAATTACAAGCAATAACCCTTTTTCATTTCGATAGAAAAATATGATTCTACATATACCATCATACCGAAGAGGAGGACACAAGTTAACTCACTTATAGGAATATAGTAAATTTATTATTTTAACAATGAAATAATTACTGTTAAGGCCTGTTTCTGGACATTTCCAATGTCCATAAACAAGACAGTCTTGTTTATGGACATTTTACTTATTTTAAATTCGTACTGTTCACTTTATTCGTTTATACTGTTTATATGAAACTATGATTATATATGATTATATGGTTCATTTACACATAGAGTACAAATGTAAAATATTCGGAATGTCTTTTATCGAAATAATAAGACAAGTATATAATTAACAAATTAGTAGAACAAAATGGTTATTGGATTTAATTGATAAAATGTTCTTGTACTTATATCATTGTTTGGTGTGCAATATATTTATATGACTACAATCGGTGATGACATAAAAGTTCAGGTACTATCTATAAGCTAAATACTGAGAAATTTTAAAACTTACGACAACAGCGTTTTCTCGCATCAATCTACTACGTTAACGTTCGTAACAAAAAATTAGGTACAATAATCTAAGAATTTTAATGCAATTTCTACTGAAATTTTAGTGTTTGCATCATTATTTAAGATATTACAACATTTTCACGTACTCACAATATAACTGCACCCCTATGTCTCCCCTTGTTACTCATAGCGATGATTCATCGTAACAATTATTCACAAAGAACATGAAACTAGGTGTTACCTTTATATTGCTTTATTATGTGTTTATAAAAGTAATCAATTGACCAATATAAATGATATGAAATAAGCATACAGAGTACTGAAATTTAACATTTTATAATTTCAAATTTACAATATACTTCATAGTACATTAAAATTGAATAAAATATTATCAGGTTTTTCAGACTCGATAAAGAAAATGAAAAGTGACTAAGCAATGAAAATTATTTTATTGGAAGCGTAATGTAAATATTTTAATTTAAAAAAAATATGAAAAGGCGTAACCGCTTTACTGAACTCCTAAGATGTTTGAGATACAGAGACAGGAATATAAAATGATGCTAAGATTTTATGACCCGGCATTTTGCATGGAAATTGTAATTAAAATATATTATGAAAAATGATGACAAAAACTTATCTTAATTCAAGACTTACCTCTAAACTGTTCAATCCAAATTATGTGGACAAAGAATTTACACTATATAGGCAAAATTTATTCACTTTCAACATTCACAGCCCAACACAATATGGCGACAGGATGAAATCCCCACCATTAGAAATTCGAAATTGAGACGCAATAGTGATTGGTTCTTTTCACCAGGACGCTTCATGTTAGCCAATATAATGATAACAAGAAATAAGAAAAAATAATTGCCTTTGATATAACACTTCCGTTTAGTCTATGGTATAGTCTACGGAAATACATGATACTGTTTTACAAATATATTAAAATAAAATAGCAAGACTATTATCCCCAAATGGAATAGCAAGACACATTGTCAACTATCGATCTCATGGTGACCTTAACTTAAATATAGTTTCTAAAAATCTACTAATCTTTATCACATATCATAAATTCATAAACCATACTACATAAATCAATATGGAAAATAATTGTAATAATATGGTATATAATTTATCGCGATAGAGGGCGCTAATGTAATATAGTGGTATTCCGTAAAACAGGTGAAAAGAGAATGAAATATAGACATAGTAATTATATTAAACTATTGTTATTGTTGTGCAATTTTGAAATAAAATTAATTGATTCATTAATAAACTAGGTCTTGTATATTCATTGTCGTCCCTTACAATCCTAACGATTTCTAAAATAGATTGTAAACAAAATTACATCGTTTTAAAAATTCGAGATATAAAATGTAAACCAGTACTATACCAAAGTAAAAAAATATTATATAATGTAAAATACTAAAAGTGTGCATAACTTTTTCACATATACTAAACGTATTAAACAATATTTCAAAAATATTCTATTATGATAAAAGTCCGTAAATAAAATGTAATAAAAAAGTATTCTTAATTTTTGTGGCTACTCTACAGCAGATAATGAAAAAATGGAAAGGACCTGTTTTGTGCAGATTTTTATTCTCTACAACTTTTATTTAAAACATTTTTTCATATTTCTTACGTTATGTTATCAAGTTATTTTGAAAAAAAAGTGTTTTTCTAACCCTTTTTAATTTTTCTATCCCTTTCCCGTCAACTAAAATAAAATTTATTTTTTAATATTATTATTCATGTATTTGTGGACTTATTTTTATATGTTACGCCAAAACTGGTCACATCATGTTAAATTAAAAATTTTACTGGATTCAAATAACTGTTTTTAGTCATCATCATCATCAGCCCACTGCAGTCCACTGCTGGACATAGGCCTCTCCCAAGGCACGCCACTGGGCACGATCTTCAGCCCTTCTCTTCCATTTTTTACCCGCAACCCTACGTATGTCGTCGCTCCACCTAGCTGCGGGGCGTCCTACACTACGTTTGCCAATTCGCGGTCTCCACTCTAGAACACGCCTACTCCAGCGAGCATCGGTTCTACGACATATATAACCAGCCCACTGCCACTTCAACTTGCAAATACGAAGAGCTATGTCGGTGACCCTAGTTCTCTGGCGAATTACTTCGTTACGGATTTGATCCCTCAGAGAAACTCCAAGCATTGCCCTTTCCATAGCTCGTTGAGCGACTTTGAGTTGGTGGACCAGTCGTATCGTCAGTGTCCACGTTTCGGCACCGTATGTCATAACGGGTAGGACGCACTGGTTATAAAACTTGGTCTTAAGGCTTTGTGGTAACGACGACGAGAAGACTTGACGAAGTTTCCCAAAAGCCGCCCAGCCTAGCTGTATTCGCCTCTTGGCCTCCCTCTCAAAGTTGTTTTTACCTAGTTGGAGCGTTTGCCCTAGATAAATATATGTACTCCTGAACAACTTCGAGAGGAACTCCATTAATGGCAACCGATTCCGGACGAATGCGATCATTGAACATGATCTTGGTTTTGTTTGATGAACTGTTTTTAGTAAATAAGACAAAAAGTACTAATTATATCAGTTTAATGATTAGATTTCTTTGTGTCTAATATTGAGCGATCATAATCTTACTAATATTATAAATGTGATAATTTGTAATAATAATTAGATGTTTCACTATTTAATCAGGCGTAGTTCATACCGTAATTTGTAGGTATTTAAGAGCGTTGTCCAATTGTAAATGCAAATTAAATCAAAACCAATTCATTATTGAAAGACATAAATCAATAAAATATTTACTTAGGTACTACAAACGTTTCAGATTGCATCAATTAGATCAACTTTACATGACACGATAAAAAATAAATAACATATTTAGATTTATTTATATATTACAGTAAATTAAAGTATATAAAAAGTCATAGAACGGATATGCAGTGTTGGGCATTTTCATAGTTTTTTTTATACCGTGACAATAATACAACTGTCTTGATAAACATGAGATGTCATTTTGACAACGACTTTTCTTTGTTTATATTTTACGTACTCTTCATTTCATTTCCAACTAGGTACATATAATAAAATTGAACGCTTTGGGTCACAAACTATTTTATGCAGGATACTCTAGCTCTAGTAGTTTAGACACTACTACTTTGTTACTATAGTCCTCGTTGCTTAATTTTATAAAACAAAAATTACATGAGCCTATAATATATATTAGTTGCAACATCTTTTATTCATAGTTGCAATTTTTTATTCATTGTTTGTTGTAATGTTTCAATGAAACGGTTTAAAAAGGTATGCTCGATGTTAGTGTTTACAAAATGCAGATGGTCTTTTAGATATAAATTATTTTACACAATTTTTTAATAAGAATCCAGATTCTTCCTCGCTTAAATTGAAATATTATTAGTTTAATGTTAAGATTGTCATTTTTTAATTTTTATACTTTAACTGAGAGTCGCTTAATTATATTTTGGTATATAAAGCAAGAGTTGTGGTATTTCTTTTACTGGTTGATATGTTTATCTAACACAGAAACACCACTGTTTTAAAATACATTCATAACATACATAGGAATACCCAGATCACTAAAAACCGACGTACTCATTAATACAAAATTATGAAATAAGTAGAAAGAAGTTTTAAACCACTAAACCGCACAGGTTGTTTCATATCTAGGTTATGTTGGCAACATTATATCCTCCACAGGCTCGTCATCTCTAATGTATACTAAAAAAAATTAGATTAGTCTATGGTACATCTGTGCATCAATTTTACGTTGCCCTTGACTCCCTCCAATTTAATTGGTGTTTTTCAAAAGTTCTGTGCTTTTAATCAGTGGAAATATTTTTTTCAAGATTTTTTATATTTATAACGATGTTATAGACAGTGATTTACTATTTGCATCACAGTGTTTTATAAATTTGTTTGGCGTCACCTGACTGAACTCATTGTCATTTCCCGCCATTGTGGCTCCAGTGAAAAACTACTTTTCTTTAGGATTTTGGTGTTGTTTACATGAAGAACTCATAAAAAGTGATATTTAGTGCACCCAAGTTATGTCATTACACGGTAATGACGTTTGTTTGCTAGAAGTAGAAGATTATAACTTGTACGAAGAAGAGGCATCAGATCACGCTTTTTCTAGGTAAGATCGGCCGGCGTGGTTGGCGATTTTGAGCACGTACTTCAGTGTATTGTTATTTTTACGTCACAAACAGACTCAAATTATTAACTTTAGACCAAAACATCTTAAATTTTTATCTCATTAAACCATATTGGCCTGCTAGGTGATGACGCTCGCATTCCGTGCCGGTCTGTAGTCAGCTGTTGTGCCGCCATGTTTGGTCAAATCAAATAGGCGTAGTAGGCGCCCCTACCTATCTGTCGCGATAATAACGTACTATCAAACACATGTATGATTTAGCGTAAATATCTATGACCATTCATGTTTAATTTGTGTAAAATGCAAAACAATAAAATATAATTTGGCATAATTAATCTCGTAATACTTTTGGTAGTAGTATTACTACAGAATAATGCGATACTTAGTACTTTTATGTTACACTAATTAAAACATATTTTATCTTGTATTGTTGTAAATTTTACTATAAACATTTACTTAATTGAATATTTACACCCATGACATTTTTTTCTTGTACAATGTTTATCAACAAGTTTCAGTTTGTTTGTATTTAGGGTATAGATAGGTATAATCTATAGTTCACAATCACATAACTGATATTTTTTTACCTAATATATTATTTATGTTTCTACCCGTACTCCCCAATTAATAATATGTATTCATTAATGGAATAATGAATGGAAATGTAAATATAAGGAAGAACAAAGCATTGTTCTAAATAATGTTCTTTGTGAGAGATATGAAGTGGTCCTGTCGGTAGACCCTACAGGTCACCAGATTCTCACCTAAATTACAAATGATGTCATTATAATTGTCATTCAACCTCTAATGGGTGTGGAAACAAAACTTTAAACTCTCATAATTACAACAACCTAGTATATACTGCTGACTTCACTAGTTTTCATGCATATGGTCTCTGATTGTGGTCATGTACCACTGGCATAGATCAACTACAATACTTTTGATATATGTGTACTCCTTAAAATATATATGTATATATGTACCTGTATAAGCCAACTATCAACAAAGAGATACAGAAAACCTGTGGAAGATATAAACAGATTAAAATAAACATAATAAACCAGTTAGCTTTGAAGCGACTGGATACAAATAACTGTCTATCTAGACTAAAAAGGGCTTGACTAGCCAGCATCTGAAAAAATAAGATGCCACCTTACTAGATGTGCGTTATCTCGTAATACCTATAACACCACAAGATATTATTATTATTTATTATTTATTTATTCATTATAGCTGGTAGGGCTGTTTGTAGATAGAAAGAAAAAAACATGGACAAGCTTTGAATTTGAAAACTTCTACCTATATATGTCAACTGCTGCATGTTTCAATATAATCTAAACAATAACTTTGCACTTAGTTCTACTCTATATATGTTAGTTTTGCATTTTATACAAGAGTAATAATCTGCAAGATAAGGACTAGACTTAGTCTACAGATGCATAGCCTAATTGAATTATTATTATTATAATAATAAATAGAATAAATACAGTTGGGTTTCTTGTCCATTCTTCTTAATTGAAACTGTATACTAAAATTGATGGATGGAATAAAAAATTAATAGAAAAAACATGATGTACATAATTCAGTTCCACTTTTCCATAACATCTCAGAACATAAATAATAATACTTAGTCTAACTGAATTTCATTGGAATGTTGCATCAAGAATCTATTACTATATTAATTAAATACCAGTAATGAAAACTATAACTAGTAGTTTTACTAACATGGTGTATGTCATCTTCTATGCTCTAAATTCTATTTGGCACTAAACTGACACAATTAACTTGTTTTTGTTATATATTATAATTATTATTATAAACACAATAATGTCATACTTATTATGATCATCTCCAATCATATACTAATGTTCATTTTGAATTCCACTGTACAGGCATAGCCTAGTGTGGGTTATAGATAAGGTGTACTTCAGCTAAGTTTCCTGAAAATAAAAGTTATTTTTATTCTCATTGTTGTTAATAATGTAAGCTTTTTTTGAGATAAAGTTGATGTAGGGTCAAGTTCAGTTGAATTTAATTAAAACATTGTCATTATTATAGAAAGATTAATTTTGATACCACGACTCATTCCAACAAAGACCTGGGCCAAGGTTCGAGCACCTAACAGTGCCTTCAAACAAAAGTTATTTCCCTCAGGCAGGAGTTGTCCATAAGTCCTTTTGAAGATTTAAAATGCTTTCTGCACATGCTCTCATATGATTTGGTAAAAGTGTAAAGGTCAGTTGTGGTCAACAACATTAAAAAAATCCATATATTTTTAAGAAATAACATGAAGATGATATAAACAGTTTAAAGAATATTCCCTATATATTAATTTTTAATTTACATTAATTTTTTCACTGAAGGAGACTTGAGTGATGTCAAAACTATTGTTGCGATGAACTTAAACATAGTAAGGTCCCATATAATAAAATTCCTTATATTCTATTCAACTAGGCATTATTTACAGAAAGTCCATTTTGCTACTTAATATTATTTATAAAATATAAAAATATTTAACCATTATAAATTGCTAATTTATCTCAAAATATTATTATATTTTCTAAAGTATTATCCACTAAAATAAAACCTTCCTAAAATAAAACCACTTTGAAAAATTATAAACCAATACAGTATATAGGTATATGAACTGGTAATAAGTCCTTAGTTTAAAACTGAGACATGTATGTTTTAAGTGTTTAAATATGTTTCCTTATATTTTGACATATAGTTATAATATTCATAAAGATTTATTTACTTTATTAAGACATTATGAACTTACATTATTATTTATTGTTTTAATGTATAATTGCTCTTTTTTCAAATCAATTAAAGAGAAATGTGAATATGGATATTATTAAACATTTACTTGTACACCCTTGAGTAATGTCTATCAAAACTTTTGACTTTGATTTGTTTTGACTTGGCAAGTTAGAGTACTCTGTGATTATAATTATTTAGATTTGTTAGTAATCAACAATCAGTTTTGATCTCTAAATTATTTGTTTGTTAACATATAATTTTTATGATTTTGGAAAATCTTACTAATACAAATGCAAAAGCTTATAAGTATGAAGGATGGATGGATGTTTGATTTATTTTGATCAAACTTTATATGCTGTTTACACATAAGGTTAACAAGTATGTTATAATTTAAAAAGATATTATGTAAATTAAGTGAAATATAATATAATAATAAATGTCAAGTATGTGTTATATAGTCAAAGTTACATGGGTCAGCTAGTTTGTGTATTAATATGAATAATAGTTATATTATTAAAATTTTATAAAAATGTTAATATTTTAAATTAAAATTGGCGGTAACACAAAACTTACATGAGGACTACCTCAAAAACTGTTAAACTGAGATTTTTTCACACACTGCAACCGAGTAATCATAATTATTTATGAGCTGCTGGATTAATTCATGTAAATAAAAAATTACAGGAGTGATAAACAACCCACAACTGGAAGTAAGACAATGGAGGCAGAGAAGAGAATTCGACGGGAGATTGCAAATAGCAATGAACGCAGACGTATGCAGAGCATCAATGCTGGCTTTCAAGCTTTACGTACACTGCTACCTCGACATGAAGGAGAAAAACTCAGCAAGGTATGTCTTTTTTTAAATACTAAATTATCAGACATTAAAATTAGTTATAGTTTCTAAATATTTCAATCTAATTCAATTTTACAGGCTGCCATACTACAACAAACAGCAGAATACATTTATTCATTGGAACAAGAAAAAACAAGACTTTTGTCACAAAATTGTCAGCTTAAAAGACTATTGAATCAACATGAAGGAGGTGAAATACCACTAAAAAAGAGAAAAAGTGAAATTATTACACATGTACCCTCCATAATACCAGACTCTACGGATGAAGCAGCTGCAAATTCGCGGTCACCTGAACCGGTTGCTGTTATCACTGTATCAAGTGTAACGCAGAAAAAAGAAGCTGACAGTAGTGAATTACGTGCTCAATTAGATCGCGAGCGACGCCTTCGACGGCTACTCGAAGATAGATTACAGGCGCTTGAAATTCAAATCTATCCAGATGCAGCTAGTCATGATGTCCCACGACCTATAATGCATTATGAACAGACTAATGTCGCTGAGTGCAAAGTGGAGAAAGATGAAGCAGAAACTCCCAATCCCATTGAACAGCCGGCAGCGCCGCTTCTCGAAGCAGCTATTAAAGCTGAACCTCGTGTTGAAGTTGAGGTCTTACCTGAAGCATCACATGATCCACGTCTCTATATCCCAAATACGAGTCGTCAAAATTTAGAAACAATTGTTGAAGCAATTCGTCATTTAGAAGGTGATCATCTATTCCGCGAGGAATCAGGTGATGCACCGCTTGCTTTGACGAAGAAAGTAGAACGAGCGCCGCCCCCACGGCCCGGCGTCATTGTAGTGAAACATTCGTGATTGCGTTAAACGTAATTTAGACTTTAAACTCGTAGATATTTTCTCATACGAGTACTCCTGACCCTCCTCGAATATAGTTTTAAAATTTTAGTTGTTTAGTTGTATTTTCCAAAGTGACGAATCGATAAGTCTGCGTCTTTTTATTTTCTTACGCATTGAAGTCAAATCAGTAATTATAAATTAGCAGATTGTGTTGTCTTATATGACGTTGGGCGCTGTGCTTAGTTTAGTCTCAAATGTAAATTATCAGTTGAATGTTTATTGGTTGTTAGGCCCTTGTGGTGTTGTATGAACGAATGGGGGATTGACTGACTTGAGTAAGATTAGGTGGAGAAAGATGTGGTAATACAAAATGCCGCGTGCCAATATTGTCTCTCGACGTCTATTGAGAAGGTATAGGAGTTAGGTGATCATTATGTTAGAGTGAAAGTTCTTATATAGGAAATTAAGCTTTGTGATATTTTTTCCTACTACATAATAAAATTGGAAAGGGTGTAAAATATGCAAATCAATAAAATAACAACTTTAGAGAAGCAATAAAGGGTATGAGATTGATAGAATGTATTGTTTGTGATGTAAAATTATCTTGCAGCAATACTTGTTCATCTGATGGTTATAAAAAAATTCAAGCATTTATAGAAAAATATCTCTTACGGTAAATTTAATATAAGTAGGTAATTATGTAGGCATGCGGCGAACGTCACTGATATCTAACTCATTTATTATTAATTTTTAATTATTTCATATTAAAGTTTGACATCTAATAAAAAATAAATCAGGAACTGTATAGGAACATTATTATTGTTTAATTTCTTCCTAATCCAGTGTTATTGCTATGTTCATAATGCTACCCAGTGCTTATTTTTATGTAATGGATATAAATTAGTAAATTATTGGCTATAGTGGACTGGTCACTGGTGAACACTGAAATTTTAGAGCATTCCATGGTTTTGGATTTTCTCTTAATGTAAGGAGTTAATATTCATGAGATATAGTTAATTGAAACATAAGCCGATATAATATATTCAATTAACTTCTTAGTGTAATTATGTACTGCTTGTATTGAGCATTCTTTCATTGAAACATCTATTAGATCATCTCTCTGTTAAGTGTCGATAAATAGGAACTTTTCGTAATATAAGTAATTCTGATATACTGTATAACTTATTGAACCTACTCTTATTGAAAGTCCCCAGGCTAGGTAAATGTATAATTAAATCAGGTGATGATTTAATCATCAATCCCTGGAGTCTAAAAAAATTTAAGTGAGCAGTATGTTTCACTTATTTGCTTTTAAGAATTTTAAATGTGCGGATTGAGTGTAAATCCACCATTAGGTATTGTAATTTAATGTGCTGACTTTTTGTTGAAATTTGAACTTGCAGTGCTTTTGTTAACATTGTATGTTTTATAAGTTTTGAGTATACCTTATTTTAAGTTTGACTCAGTAACAGAGTGGATTACTATTATTTACTTACAGGAATAGTACTGACCCTGAGTAGTGAATAAAAAAATTAAGACTGATCATTTATTCATTATTAAGTTATGCTAGGTCGAGCCATTATTTGTAATATAACATGTGAGTGATTGTCTGCATGTTATTTAGTGATCCGACAGTATTGTGGAGGTGTAGATTTATTCAGTAATTTTTATACACTTTGAAACCTATGTGGTAATAAGTTTATAAAACTGTTTCATGAACAAGAGTCTCGAAAATTATATTCTATATTAATTCTACTTTATTACACTTATACTGTTGGATCCAAATTATTATGTTTTAATTTTGAGGTACCCTGTTAATTATGCATTTGTTTAATATTTTCGTAATATAATCCACACAGATCTGAATGGTATTTATTATTGAATCACCAATTAATTGTACAATAGAGTTTAAAGTTATGAATTACTACCTACTTGGCGCACTCCGTACTTTACTGTAAAGTATGTACAGACAAGAAGTTCCCAGTTATTCTGTGGAGTAATAAATATATATTATGATTATTATATGTATATTTCTCATTTTTCAAATAATTATTGCAACATGAAGCATAAATACTAACACTTACAATCTGTTAACTACTCTATAATTAATAGTAAAACAAGACGAAAATACTTATCAAGTATCTAAATTATTATTGCATATATATTGGCAATATATACAGAAAATAAACAGGTTAATTATTTAAAATTTTAGTTATTATAAAATAAAAGAATCTTGAAAGTTTGGGCCATTAAATATATGTATTATTGTACAAGTGTAATTATTTATTAAAAATGTTTATTGTAAACGTGTGATAATTTATTAAAATTGCTTCCAGGAGTGCGCCATCTGTAGTCAGATGATTATGTATTAGGTAGTTATGAGCACGAAATAATGATGTAATAGTTTAATATTATGTTATTAAATCAATTTAGTGTTCATTAATTAGATTTGTGACAGTTTTTGTTACGGGCTTTATGTTCAGTTTGGATTCGGTTTATTTGTATTTATAACTTGGAAATATAGTGACATTGGATATGGTTACTATTTAATATTCGGGTTTCAACCGCTATACAATTCACTGTTATTATCTGCTTTTACACGTACGCTCTTTCACGCGTGAATCAACTTTCACACAGGAAAGAATAAGCATGTATAAAAAGGGAACGAGAAAGACACGCTCATTCCCTCGTCCTACAATCATCCGAGCTTTAGCGCCTTTTCATAATCAATAATTAATATTTGTTCTGTGGAGCAAAAACATAATTATAGTTATTTATAAATGTTAATCGCGTCTTAGGAAAATATGTGAAATAAAGAAATAATTTTATAAGAAAGTGATATGATATGAAAGATACGTGATTATCACGCGCGAAAGAATGAACACAAACAGTAGTAAAATACAATCACTCACGATTGCGTGTGCTAAATTGTACGCGCTCCTGATCGCGCGTTAAAGAACTTGTCGTGTAAAGGCTATTAGTTTTTGAAAAATCCACATTATGTACATTGTTGCGGAATAGTAATACGACGTCTGTTGAGACGCGGTATGTTACAGATGAGAGTAAAATGACAATTGTAAATTAAAATAACGATCTTATATACAAATTAATAATAGTAAAATGTAGGAAGGGATGACACGGTTTGTGCAGTGTTTAATAGACAATATTTAGTTATTAATTCCAAATATTACAATGGAATATCTAGGTAACTGTGTTTCAAATACATCAATTTTGCCAGCACCAATAAAACATTAAGTTGCTGTATCCAAAAAACTGTAACAATTAAATAAAACTTGTAATAGCTATATAATAAATAATATATGAAATGTCAGTAGACCTACTACATTTTAACCCACCATTAAACATTGGAATGTGCAGAAAATGATTGGAATGGAAGTTAATGTATGTAAAGTTTCCATAAGCCTTGTTTTCTCTACAATCCAAAATACAACTACATACGATACAAATAAATTATATTTGCTCTTTTAACTAGATATATTATGTATTTCATCTACGTCATATGACTGTTAATTCGCCACTGAATCGGGAATATTTGTGATTTCAATAGAAATTAAAAATATCACAATTATCCACATAGGCAACTAAAAAATTATTTTTTAATGTTTCTCGCGTACGAACATGATGAGCCTGGTCATTAATATAGGTTCACTTAGTTATCTATTATTAGTTATATTATCCTGTCAAATGAATTTGAATGTTTAATTGTTATCAGATTTCGCAATAAAATCTTCGAAATATGGTCACGATATGACATTAGATTTCTCTTGATTAATTTATACACTCTGTTCCTGAGTCCATAGTCGTAAGGAGTTGTCTGCCTACCGCCTTTACATTATGTCAGTATAGGATAGTTTAAAATGTAACATAATGGACTTGGTTAAACTATTAGTGTAGTCAAATAGTAATAAGAGATTTTAAGTCAAACAAAGCGAGTTAAATTGTTTAAAATGTGTTATTATTTATGTCTTAAAGTATTAAAATGGTTATTTCTTATTAATTAATTGTAAATGATAATCATCTGTAAGCTTAGCGAACTATTTATAGTTCCTTGCAGAGCTAAAACCAATAAAACATTGAAATCTGTTTATTTCTAGTTAATCCTTACATAAATGCAGCTTACTATTATTATATTTCGCTTCATGTTCTTGCAATATTATTCTGTTTCTATTTTGGATGACATTCTTAACAATTGTATATATTTTTCTAATCTAGATAAATTTTGTAGATCGACTTGATTATAAATTAGCTTTGCTTATTTCAAATATATTAATTTGACCAATTTTTTCAATATGTAATTTAATCAAAACACCTAATGTAAAAGCAAAAAATAAATTGTAATAATTGCGTTCTAATCCATTATTTTTAAAACTATAAAATCTGTTATAAATATGTCGTTCTGGAAAAAAATAAACAAAGTAAAAATTATATTGGACAAAGTTGTTTTGTTAAAATATTGATATGTCTATGAAAATAAAGGCGTAACTTCAGTGTAGGCGTAGTTCAAGTTCAGGAATGTACATTGAAATAATATATATAAACGTTTATTCGACTACTATTATAGAAAAGATTATTATTGTATTTGAACGGTAATACTTTTGTCCACTTCATTGACTCTTCAATATAAATATTACCCCGCGCACATTACATAGTCTGGTGACAACTAGCAAAAAAATATATGTAATATTTTATTTCCAGTGATTGCACTTGTATGTATATATTAATAACTTGTACCATGTTTTATTGGTTTTAAGCATTATTTAATGTGAATATTTCTATTTTCTACACTCTATCGTATATTTGTAATGTCATTGTCCTATATATTAATCTGGTGTATAAAAAGAGCTATCTGTAATGTCTAGATAAAAATTCAATCTTTATAATTCATTTTTATTGCATTTACCTAAGTATATAGATAGTTTTGGTTAAATGTTATTATTTTGCTGGGCTTTAGTATTCCAATGGCGAATCTAGTGTAATGATTCGTGATAGGGTGAATATGTATTAAAATCGCATTTTTAGTATGGGACCGCAGTTGACCGTATTGTGTCCACATTGTATGACAATAAGTGGGACCCTAATTGTAACAATTAGGGTCCCACTTATAGCTTCTGTTTAATGTACTGTGTCCATTTTTTATATGCAAATTATCAGGATTTAATATTAGCTAAGCCTTGTGATTTCAAAATATGTATCCAGTATCCACCATGTTCACTCTATCCTTAATAAGCTCATGTTCCTAATTGTACGTATATAGTTATGGTATAACATTTTTTGCAGTCAATAGTTAAGATAAAGTGTAGAAAATATCCATGGATGTTTCCTTTTGATATGAAATTAATAAATATTTCCTCGGATTTTAATTGTACCACATTTGACCTATATTTACGAATATTTATAAAAGATTCATATTTTGGTGTTTTATTTTCTTCCTACGTTTTTATGATTATATTATATGTATTAATAATCAGGTGGCAGCATGTTTGCCATTTCAATTACCTGCATAAAAAATAAGCAGGTTTAAAATAAATTCTCGAAAATTGCTAAATTTTACGTACCATAGAGACGATATATGTATCACATGACCTTCAACCTTCGATTAAGTAAGGATTGCAATTGCTTTACCTAAACAATTCATTCTATGATTCTTTTTTTTTTTTTAATTGTGCGTATATTTGTCCTTAATTAATATTTTTCTGTATAACCCAGGTTACTTATATATGTAATATTAACTTATCTGTGCTTACACTTATACCAAATTGTGTTATTCGAGAAATGAAATTAAAGAGAGATTAATTAATAAATGATGAAAGAGAAATTAATTAAAGCAGTGTATTAAATTCTTTATTACAGGCAGGCTGTTACAAAAGTTGAGTCTAAAACTATAGGTTGGCGGTTATTTGCCTCATAACTTTAGGTTTCAACACCGAATAATTATTAAGCATTAAAAAGTACCACTGCTTCACCTATTTCCAAAAAGCCGCCGCCAAGTCAGCTTGACATGATTCTATTGAATAGAGTAAAAGTAGGGGGTAAGGGCACAATAATATAACGTTAGTCATCCGGAAATAGTAACACAATATTATGCTTGTAGTATCACGTGCGTAATATACTGATTTCATGTCCGTATTGCTGTTCATGTATGTAGGTACCAATTACCACTTACCATCAAGTACCCCGTTAAATGTATAGGTAATATATATATATAGAAATTACATTAAATTAAACTTTTTTTCATTGATTTAGACCTGAATGGCATTTTTACTCTATAGGCATATAAACAATATTAAAGAAAAAAATACAACCGGGAAGAATGGAAATGAAACTCGTTTTAATAAATACCTAGATTTTTTACAAATACAATAAATTGAAGTGGTTTCTGGCCTAGTAGTTTACCACTTACCACATTTCTTACATAACAAATGCTGTGTCTTTGGATATAACCGACACTAAATTTTTTTATTTTTGAATCAGCCTCCGGAAATGCCGATAACAAACCAATACTCGCGGAATGTGTTACGACGTGTACGATGAATCGCCGATAATAACCTCTCTATTTTAATACCTATATACAATTACAAATTAAGAAAACAATAGTTAAGTTACTATACATTACGATTAATTATTACTGAACTGTAATACAAATTACTATTGATTTTCGTATGCTAATAGCAACAATTTACAGAAATACGTATTGCTATGAAATGAGGACAGTATTTTTTAATAATGATAATGGTGATCATAGTGCTCCTGGCTGTGCTAACGGTTCACGATGGCAATAAAGGAGTTTAAGATGAACATGAGATCAGGTCAGTTTACCCATCGTGATAAATTCACCAGGAATTTGTAATGATGATTTCCGGAGGGAACCGCATGGAGGTCAAACTGATATGGTACATTGCTAGGAATGGTGTCATCAGGCTATATTACCAATATTACTAACAATCCCCTTTACTCCCCCTTACTGGGGACATTATTACCTTTCTATAATTACTTATAGTGTTGGTGGCAGTTTGGGTCGTATTGAGTTGTTATAGTAAATACCATCATTACCACAATAATCTTTTGAAATATGTCTTACCCTCATGAACTGCTTATAATAATAGTAACGGTTCTAATGACCACAATAAGCCTCTTTAATTACGTAATTTCGCATTTTCCTGCAGAGACAAAAGAAACTTATATGTTCCGTTATAAATAGGCATATCATACAAAGCGGGTGTTTCAGTTTTGTTATTTCCCAAGGTTAGGTTATGGCCATACTGATTTATTCATTCCATGGCCGAAGAGGACATGCTGTGCTTGTGTAGATCGATTATACCACAGACACATTGTATATAAAGTATAATATCTATATACAAAATATAATACATATTTGACCGTGTAGTGTAGTGAAGTGTGATTTTGATTCAGTACTTCGTCTCAGTGATACAATCGACAACCCGTCTCACTCATGTCTGTCAGTTGATCTCAAAGTGTTCTAAGAGAAACATTCTGTTTTGTTGTACTAAAGTTACGCATTTTAAAACTCTTGTTTAATTTTACTACAAAGAAGATAATATCGTCCTAAGAGATTGTGTTTAATATAGTCTCTGTCTTAGGAATTCAGGTATAAAAGCTTTCATTTAATACTAGCTATTTAAATCTGCGAAAATAAAAACAATTGCTCATTTCAAAATACGGTTCTATATGTATTTACCTGCTCATGAATTTACGCTTACGCGGTAATATTTTCGCCACGGAACTAACATAAGACAAAAACTAATGATTATTTTTATTCCTTTTTTACCTTCGTTTTGTTCCATACTATTTTTATTACAAATATTGGTTCTCTTTAGGTTTCAACTTGTTTCTTCGACCCTTTTTGGTCACAAAACTATAGATACCTATTCCGAATTTAAGCCGTGAAAGTGTAACAAACAAACTCACTTTCGAATTGATAATACAATTGTATATCAGTAATCTATGAATACACTCGGAATTTCAGACAAACAGCCATGGACTGGAAATGTGTTGGAGTTATACTTATGATAGGGTGCCCTTTATTTGGTCAAGAAACAAGTGACGACTTCCGGTAACTACTTTTTCAATATACTTTTTTTTATTTTGAATTTTTAAGTACTTGTACTTGTACAGAGATAGAACAAAATATAGAAACGCGTCATGAACTGTTAATGCATTTTATATCAATAATGCAACTAATTCAAAAAGGTTCTCAATTCATAGTATTATTTCGTATTATTATATATTTATTAGTTGGTATACTCTGTCATGGGGGTCTCCACTGCAATTCGGACCGGAGACGCGAGAACGCAGTAGCAGTTTTCTAAGAATAAGCGGTTTTTTCTTGACTTTGAATCAGTTTTTATTACAGGTACTTATTTTAAACGAAAGGGTTTTCCGAGTTACTTCTTATCGGTTAATTTTGAAGTCGTTTCTTTCTTTAGTAGTAGTCTTATCACTTGTGGTGGATGTGTGTAACTAATCCGAATACATACATTTACGATACAGTTTACAATTATGTATTATTAACGAATTTTACGCATTAGGTATATTATCGAATATAAAGACAATTAAAACTAATCTATACCTACTTAATCTGTATTTACATCACATCACTATAATTCTAGATAGAGTAGCTAGATGAGTAGATAGCATTGTTAATTGTGGATGTTGTGGGATGAGTGTAAATTCGCGTGTACCCACCGTATTTTATTTTGTAAAGGGTGATAATACAATGGTGCACACTCGTATGTTAATACGCTGATAAGCCACCACTAACGGATGATAGGATGAACATAATATTAGGTCAGTTAGCCATAACATTCGTATCTAGGGGACCATGTGAATCTCGACCGAACATCTAGTAATGTAGACACTAATTCCACATCTCCCCGCGTACCGTAATAATTTAGTTTGTAATTAGTGTTCGCAATTACCAGAGTTGAAGAAAATCGATCAAATCAATCTTTTGACTGTTAAGAGATCTAAAACAAACTTACTCGACCGTATCTCTCTATGATACATTAAATAGCAGAGATTTAGTCACTCATTAAATTAGACACATGATATTTTTTTTTATGTTTACAAGAACAACAACAATGGAATCAATTCAAGATGATTCACTTGCACAATCTTTAAATAGTTTTGGATACAAATTAATGATTGAGATTATGAAGAAAAACGAGTATAATTTGAATATAGCTATATCACCAACGAGTATCGCAAGTAAGTTAACTTACCTACATATATACTTAACTTAGTTATACATATACTTAATGCTTCTGAAATTTTACATTAGGTAGGTACCTACTTGTCGAATGGATTATATACCAATAATAAAATAATTATGAGTATAATATTCATAAAGACTAATAAATACAAATTAGTTATTTGTATGTATTTTTCTTTATTAAAATATTTACCGAATAAATAAGAATGAATTTTTGACAGGCGTCTTGGCAATGACTCTTCTCGGTAGCGTTGGTAAAACTTACGATGAAATGGCAGACATTTTAGGATTTTCACGTGGTGAGTATTTTGAGTAATTCTATATGCTGTATAATACTAGAAATAATAATATTGTTAGCCTACACATAATTAGGTACTTTTCGAATTTTTACCTGTCTGTATGTTTGAAAGGTTACGAGAAAATGGTTGAAAAAAAATAGAATTAAGTAATTACGTACTTAATTATATTTTTTACTATTAACCAAGTCTTAACATAAATATAACCAATAAGTATATTATAAGAACTGGTCAAGTCAATCAGGAGACGTGTTTAATTCTACCCCTCGTTCATGTGAAATTATGAGCTTTGTTATTTAGATCTAAAAGTTAATATTAATTAATAAATTTACACCAGCCCATATTTTTGGGTGTAGAAATATGAAATGGTGTACATACATCAGGTTAGCATAAACTAAGTATTCAGAAACGATTTTATGGATTTAAGAAATAACTGATTCTGTTCGGGCCCAGCTGTGTGGAACTGCTACACCAAATAATATGAGGAAATCAATCATTCTCATGTAGATATGTTAACAAATCGTAAGAACCATGAAGAATTCGGGGAACTTCTGCAAGCTCTCAGTACGAATACATCATCCAAGACGATGTATGCAAACGCGATATTTGTGGACAAAGATACACACCTGCGCGAAGTTTTCCGGAATTATTTGGAAATGGTGTACCATGGCGAGGCACTTGGTACAGAGTTCGGCGACGGAGTCAAGGCTAGACAGGTGATTAACGAGTGAGTAATTAACTGTTTGTGTATATTGTAGACCTCAGTGACAATGACATTTTTAGCTAATTATGTTATATTATGGCTGTTTAGCTCTTCTTTAATAAAACACTAGTTTTAAACTATAAAGTAACTTAACAAACACCTTGATAGGTACCTACGTACTTATTACCTGACTACTAAGAATGTTATTAAGTAGACATTCCTAGTAAGGACGCACAATAAATAAGTAGGTACCTACATTGAATATATGTTACACCTCCCTCGTTTTTATGAATACATTACAATCTATCTGTGTAGCTTAATATAAATTATGCTACCAAAGTCTTTTAATTATACATATAGTTATTGAGGATTAAGAAAAATTGATAGGGTAATGTTAGAATACAGAAACTGCTAGAAAATATGGGCCCGGAATTAGATTTGTTTGAGTTTCTACCCCTTTTTGGGTGCCTAATGGCAGAAGATCTCACTTTCTTTTTACTCCGCCTTCTACAGCGACATACCCTTTTAATAGAAGTACTTCACTACCTCTTACTTCCCATTATTTTCTGATACTTATTCGGCTAGTTCTCCAGGCTCGTCCCTTATTTTTGAGTAAGTGGCGCTTCTCTGCAACTGTAGAGCAATCCTATAGAAAGTGCTATGCGCGTGCTGGTCAACCAATACCCCCAGGTCATGCGGACAATAGGAGACGAAGCTAGTTATCACTGAAAATAACTGTTTGTTACAATTTTTAGATGGGTGAAAGAGCACACTAAAAATAAGATAGAAGATTTCCTACAACAACCACTTCCTGAATCAACGAAAGTGGTATTGCTCAGCGCTCTCTATTTTAGCGGACAATGGGAAAAACCTTTTCTACCAGAATATACTAAAAAGTAAGTAAATTTTAAGTACTACAAACATATATTGAGTAAGGTATATTTTTCGTATTTATAATAGGTATACTAAAAAAGAAAATTTACTGTTACAGATTACCTTTCAAAACGCCGACTAAGGAAGTTATGACTGATCTTATGGCCAACTTTGGAAACTTTCATTACATATTTTCTGTGGAAGATCGTAAGTTTCCGGCTTAACAGTCTGCCTACGCACGATACGATTTGGTAATTGATTAATCCAGTGTTAGGTCGGCTGTGTTAAAATCGTGTGTTTGTCATACATAAACTGTAGACCGACCGAAGGGCTCACATTCAATTTCTGACTTTATGTCCAATTTCTGACGGGTGTCGACGATGCCATTTGACTGGCGTATTTCCAAAGAAGACGGGATTTTAATGGAATGGCGTCGTCGGCACGTACCATCGAATCTGAACTTGATAATGTGAGCCTAATTTCTATTAGATACCAAACAGAATCGTGTGTAGAAATTTCAATTAGATTTTGTCTGACATTATCTCTGTACCTAATAACCTGTAATAAATTATTATCTATACATTTTCATTTTAGAACTACACATGGTAGCATTTCCTTACAACGATAGTGTGACCAAAATGTATGTTCTTAAACCACGGATACCAAGACGTCTGAATATATTTGATCTGTTAAATAAATTAGATTACCTAAAAATTGAAAGTCTAATAAATCGTATGACAAGCAAAACATGTGTGATAAGATTTCCTAAAATGGAACTTCGGAGCAATGTTAAACTAGAAGTCCCTTTGAAAGCTCTGGGTGTGAACACCATGTTTAACCCCAGTGAAGCAAACTTTGCACTAATGATAGACGGTAATAATATGATTAATCAGACAGAGACGGAATTGATTTCGAGGATAAATACAGGAGATTTGGAAGCAAGAGGATTAAATGAGCTAATAAATGAGCTGGTTAATCCTGCAGTGCATGTTGACTCTGTGATACATGAAGTGAAGATGACTGTCAATGGTGAGTTATGAAATTATTTTAATACCTTTATCTTTCTCTTGTTTTTCTATCACCATACGAGGTGGTCTGTAAAACGCCTGCATCCTGCGTGAGAATCTCACTCTAGTCTATATCAGCCGTCTCCGCTTTGTAAGCTGAGTTTCGGTTTCAGAGTGAACAAAGGAGTGACAAGGGACAAGTTAGGTGGCGTGTTATCGTAGTCCTCTGGAACAGCAATGCATGAGTGGTATCACGGGTATCACGTAGGTAATAACGTAAAAATGTTATAGATGTCACACAACGAAAACAACCATTGCAAAAGTGGGTCATTTGTGGCTATTCAACATGGTTATGACAAAATAGCAATTATGACCATGAAATCGTTTTCGACGCAATAAAATCTCATTATATACAATTCTATTATTATTATGCCTACATTTGTAATATTTCTGTAAATACTCGGCACCCTCCATTTGTTTAAGCCTCCACATAACTTAGATTTAACTCCAGTGCAAAGTCAGTCCAGTCAGTCAGACTGCACGTTAATGTAGGTACGCGTTACTAATAATACTACATGTATTATTAGTAACGCGTACCTGTCAAATATACCTAATAATCTAGTTCAATTATTACTTCTGTACGAGAAACAAATAAATTAAGTAGACACCTCATCACTTCATATATGACGATACAGTGGTGAGGTGATAACCATACACTATATTCTAAAATATTTACCTCAAATTATTCTATAAAGCGCTAAGTAGAACTAGGTGCTCAGGGTTGTCATATCATAATACATATTTTATTTTCTAGAATTTGGCACCGAAGTAGTGGCTGCAACCAGCGCAGTGACGACACGATCTGCAGAAATGTTCTATGCGGACTCACCGTTTTATGTGTTTATTAGAAATGAAAAGACTAAACTTATTACATTGAGTGCAATAATATTTGATCCTAGTGTGTAAAATCACAAAATATAGAACATGTAATTACAATGGCTAGCTTGTAAGCAATAATTAATTGCATAAAAAAAAATACATTTGTATTCTTTGATAGCAGCGCAGTTACCATAATACACTTCGTGTTTATTTTCTTAATCATCAGACATTTGTTTAATTTATACAAAATTATTCCATATTATAAGATGGTAACAGGGTCACTGATAGATAATAGCAACAGGTAAATTCACCTAAGGTAATATGGTATCTACTTTCCGAGGTACACATTGTACAAAGTCGTATGTTTGCTTACTTACAAAGGTAGCTTGCGTAACATATTTTTGTATTGAAGCAGATTTTATGGTAAGCTGTGTTTCGGTTGTCATATACGGAACGGAACAGAGTACGGAAGCTTACATTCATATGGCTATGTATGAGGAACGTATGAGGTGTATGCGTGTGAGTTTCCATTACAGAGGACACTGTTCTTGTACTTACTATCTGGTACGCTGTTACGATTATTTACCATTCAAGTTACACATAAAAATAACTTAGACGAATATAATTACGTCATTCTGATGTTGGTCTATTACCGTTATTCAACGTATTCCAAATTCTTATGATTTATATCATAAGAATAAATAAGAATAAATAAATGTATACACAATAAAAATATGTTGTTTCAAACTAATAAAACAGTCGATAAACCCGACGCGCCTTGACCTCGTTATCATGGTCAGATAATTCTCATAAATGTCAGTACAGTAAGGCTTTTTCAAACTTTCTGTGATTATATAAAATTCCTAATGTTCTAAACCTACTTAATAAAATAGCATTTTTTTGACAATATAAATAATATTTAGAAATATAAATAGTGCTGTGAAAGCGAAGAAAATTTTTATGTTACTAGGCATTGCTACTGCGTCAGCAGCAATGTGATTTTGTTTAATAATCTCAGTTGTGGGTCGTAGATTGTTTCGGAAACCCAGATTTTCATAGTAAGTCGATGTAATTACGAGTATGAAACAAATTGGATTCAGCAATTACCGGTTTTACCGGAAGCATTAATCGGTATGTACATGTGTATATAGGTCTGTACGGTTATAAATTTCCTTCTAACTTTATAATTAGTTATCATAATATTATTTTGGACATTACGGTTGATGACGTAAAAATATATTGATATTGATTAATATATCGTTATACCTTTACATAGTATAAAACTAAGTCTCTCCCACTGTTTGTTCACTTAGATCTTTTAAACTACTCAACGGATTTTAATACAGTTTTCAGAAATATATAGGTATAGTGATTGAAGATGCAAATATAACACATGTACAGTCCCATGCGAAGCCAGGGCGGGCAGCTAGTTAGTAATCAAGAAAAACAATGTCTTTGCAAAGACACTTGTAAAAAAAATAATATGGTATAAAAATTATTAGGGAATAAATAATATTTAACAAACATTTATTAGAGATCTATTATAATTTTAGCATTATATACACATATTACATATATCTGTAATACAATTTCAATATGTTTGCTTAATGTTATACTTAAAAAATATTAGTCTTTAAATTTGATATTTTTATCTGTTACTTTTCAGTATTTCTATCCTATCATTTAGTGTTTGCTTCCATTGTTCTTCTGTTATACTTTTGGCCCAGTCAGGTATTGACGTCTGTGGCAATGCAAAATTTGCCATTGCAGACATTACCTGAAATTTTATTAGGAACATCAAATATTTAATTTTATTTATTTCACAACACCATATATTTTAGTATATACATATGGATCGGTCAAAATGGAACAATCATACCGGTGAGAAAGTGGGGTGTTCTGTATCTATACAAGAGATGAAGTCTCTTGTTTATATGGTTTTTGTATTCAGTAATATTATATTACATTTGCAGACAGGGGTGGATCAACCTAAAGGCTTCTTGGGCTGTAGCCCAGGATTCATGAATATAATCAGCCCTCAGCCCTTATTGAGAACAATACGTGATATATTTAAATAAATATTGAAATACCTATCATAAGGTTGGCAACACTGAGATCAATCAAATGTGCAATGTGCATGTCTATCGAACGTAACGGGGAATTCCCCATCCCTTGTTTTTGGTTCCTGTATATTTTTTAATAGGGTAATATAATTAGGTTAGCCACTAAGTAGATCCTCACAATTAGGTTACACATGATCCGCCCCTGTTTACAGAACATTATTAAACTAGGTGCATTATATGTAGCAATTCCTATTATGATATAAAGTATGTTATAATTTAACAAACTATAAAGAGTCTTATTATAGTAAATTGTCTACATTTATTTGACTTTCAGAAGCTTCAGAAGCTTTTAAATGAATGAAGTTAAGAATCTTGAGCGGATTCTTAACTTCATTCATTTAAAAGCTATGGAGTATGGTAGACCAATAATAGTAGTAGTGTATAGTAATCTAGATCATAAATATATGTCTTATAGCAACAAAAAATAGTATCTCAAAGGATAATGGAAAAATAAAATTTTTGTACAATAATTGTAGTTTTTGTATGTCCATTAATTATGAAAATAGTTAAAGTAGTTAAATACCTGTTGGGCACGTTCTGTATCCATCTGTATAGAATCAGCTGGATGTGGTGTATTCCACACCTCTCTGGTAATTGCTGTGTCCATACTTTCTATTGGAGGAATATTGCTATTATTTACTACCTGTGTCTCTTCATTATTCTGCAAAAACAATTCAATTCTTTCAATATTTTAATACTAATAATACTCTTCAAATCCTGGCATGATATAGCCTCATTTATAAACATGTAGGTACCTGTGTCTAACAATTGCATACATTATAATGTTTGTTACTAATAATTGCATAAATCCTTTGGAGTAAATTTGGCATGTAAATAGATACAACTTAGATTAGTTTACTTTTTTACTTACCACCGAATTCGTAATTACGTTTAAAAGTTTATTCCTTTTAACACCATGAAGACTAGATTAAGTAGGGTGGGTTCTACATAATGGTACCTTACTGGAAGTGATAATAGTGGTGGAATAAAACCGAACTAAAAACAAATTCAGGTCATTTGAAACTGATAATTTCAACATTAAAGTGTTAAATCAATTTCTAGCAAAATGGATGAATTATTACCTCTGTTTCTTCGTCGCTATCGTGGTCTGAATGCACTGTTTCAGGCCCTTGGGGTAAAGGTTCGTACCCAAAATATTCGTTTTGTTCCTCGTCGCTGTCCTCTGTATGATTTGTAACCATCATCAAGTCTTGTCTACGAGGTGGAGTTAGATCGTGCGGATTGTTGTCTGGGGGGTCTGGGCCGTCGCAAACCATCCTAACTATTAATGTTACAATGACAATAGGTAACTAGTACACAATAAAACTACTAGAAGAATTAAGAAAAATACTTCATAAATTTTACAATTGGCAAAACAATAGAATAAAATTATACAAACAGTACATAAACAAGGAAAATTTCAAATATGATCACTCTATATGTCCATGGTGTGGACTGTGCTCTGTCTGACTGACATATCTCATATTGGCATTTGAAGACGTGAGTTTAAGTCAGTGGAGAGGTGACAAGTAGTGACAATGGATATTAGAAAGTAAAAATTTTTTAAAAATGTCAATTTAATTTTTTTGAAAACAGGGACAACACAAAATTAAAATGAAAATTGATTAAAATTTCCATGCCATTAATTTTATATTAGAGCTACCTTTTGTGCCCAATAATTATTCCATCCATTCAATATGGCTTGGAGAAGTCATGGGGCAAATAATGCAGATATGATTTGGAATCTTCGAGGTATGATTCTGGATCTTGCAAATCGTATAGATATAGAATAATTTTATTTTTATGAATTGTAATGAAAAATAAATAACATTAATAACAAAATATAAATATTCAGTTTTGAGTTATTCTTAATATATTTTTTTGTTAACTGAATAGGGTAATTCTGCTTACTACATTCTTGTTTAAAATCAAGGGTCTGAGGTACTTATGAATTGCATGTGATAATCATTTTCATCTATAACATTTTATATAGCTTATAAACTATTATCACAATAAACATTAGTGAATCTAATTGTAATTAATATTGATATTATCTTTGATTTATGATATTATATGTTCTTATATGCTTATAATTGCAGCAAATGGCATTATAAAATCAGATGCCGTATCTAATGCAATGACAGCAGTTGATCGCAAAAATTACTGTCCATATGCTCCATACCATGATTCACCTCAATCTATTGGATACTCTGCTACTATTAGTGCACCTCATATGGTTAGTGTGGGAATAACATGTTCATCTATATCAAATAATTTCAATATAATAATAGCCAAACTTGTTAATAATTAATGTCTTTATTGCATAATTGTTGTATGGGTCAAATCATTAATGCTACTATTTTAATGTTTCAATATTAAATGTTATAATTTTTTCAGCATGCTCATGCATTAGAGAAATTAAAGGATCAATTGGTTCCTGGTGAAAAAGCGTTAGATGTAGGATCAGGGAGTGGCTACCTGACAGCATGTATGGCTTTTATGCTGGGAGAAACAGGACGAGTGGTGGGCATTGAACACATACCAGAACTTGTTAATTTAGCAACAAAAAATATTAAAAATGATAATTCACACCTGCTTACCTCAGAAAGAGTAAAATTAATTGGTAATTTAACCACTAAACATTAAGTTTGTTTTACTAGAACCATATAAAACATTGTTCTTAGATGTTTTTATAAATAACTTTTGTTATTTTAGTTGGTGATGGAAGACAAGGCTATCCATCTGAAGCACCTTTCAATGCAATTCATGTTGGAGCTGCTGCTCCCAACTTACCTCAAATGGTAAGTTGTAGGAGACAGTTTTTGTATTTATATATATATATATAATAAAAAAGAATATAAATAATCTATACTGGGTAGCTATATAAAGAAAAAAATTAATGGCTTTGTCTGTTGGATCAAATGATATTATATTTTATTTTTAATATAAAAACAAAAATCCCAAAATAAATTTAGATTAAAATGTATATATATAAATAATACTCAGTTTCATATAAAAACCCCTTTCATTTGATTATCGAACTAAATTTTGAGTCTCCATGTTATACAAGCAGATAAAAGATTTATTAAGCCCAAGAATGGCAAGTTCCACTACTTTATTCATTTCATGTAAGGAGCATTAATCATTTCAGATAAATATAGCACTGGCAAATCAAGTGACTATCATGGTACTTGTTATGCTTGCTTATTCTTTTCAGTTTTATACCCTAAAATCATAGAAAAATAATACTAATATATAATATATTTTTTGTATTAGATGGTACTAAAAACATGATATCATGAAAGTGGTCCTTTCAGATTTAAGTTACAATTATTTTTGTTAGACAATTAATCAAAATGTGTTTTATTGGTGTAGTTAATAGAGCAGCTCAAACCAGGTGGACGCCTTATTGTGCCTGTTGGTCCTGAGGGTGGTGAACAGCATCTTACACAGGTAAATACATAATACTTCCCACCTTGTATGGGGCTATTCACAAATTACGTATTTGGAATTTCGAGTTTTTACCCCTCCCCCCATCCTTGTCACTTTTAGTTACTTTTGGTATGTGAGATTCCTCTCTAATGTGACGACACATATTTTGAAATACATACATAGTTAACCAGTAGATAAGTTGGATATATTTTCAAGTTTTATTTTGTATTTATAAAATAACATATAGTATTTTAACACTTAGAAATATTAGAATTAGAAATCCGACGTTACGGAATTTAGAGCCCTACCATCCTTTGTGACAGAATGGCACATTGTCTTGACCCCCTTAACATATGACATTTACTCCTAGGCTTTATTTGAAGGTCATAACATTTTAATTAAAGTGTAATATATTAGTTGTGAAATTATCATCATACACATCTTATAAAGGAGAAAGTTTATAAGGATGGAAGTTTTTACTGACGCAAAAACTACTGGACAAATTAAAATAAGATTTGATACACAGATAGATCATATTAACGTGTTCTGTACTATGGTATACAGGTAGTGTTGTTTGTTACTATAACCATATACAAAATAATTTATTTGGTACATACATTATTTTGTATATAGTAACCACTTTCACTACCACAGAGCTTGAATGGGCTTTGTGGTAGTGTAAGTGTGGTGGGTGGATACCCAGTAGGATGAGCTTTGTGGTACACAGATTATTCTTTTTTTATTATTCTTAAGTGACACTGCTGGATACAAGAAATGGTAATAACACGTCCTAAAATTTGTTCAAAGGTTGACAAAGCAGCCGATGGTACTACAACCGTGAAGAAATTAATGAGTGTAATCTATGTTCCTCTAACAGACAAAAAACACCAAATTCGTGAGTGACCTTGTTTGAACACTTCCATCTATATAATGTTCATACTCTCCATGACACTACTCATTGGTTGGTTATTGCGTACCTTTATGAAAAATACATTAATTACATGATGGCAAGTAATTATTTCTCATTATATTTAAGTAGAGTAATTGATTTGTATATTTATTATTATTTATTAATTCCTAGACTTCTAAGTAATAGGTTGTAAAATTGATTTGTAAATTTAATGCCATATTTTGGTCACAAGTAAATGTTTAATTGACTGATGAATTCTCATTATACATCTGCAAAGTATTTATAGTTTATGAAAATAATGTATTAAGACTACATATACTTTAATGGTTACCTTAATTTATTAATGAAATGGATCTTTCAATTATTTTAGGTCCTTGGCGTTAGTTTGCATTGTTCAGCATGTTCTCAGATGATTTAAATAAAGTCACAAGTATTGTAATAAATAATATATTATAGTGATTGACCACTGAATTTCATATTTGTAATCTCCTACTGTATAAATAAATTAAGTTTGGAAATTGTACCTATGTCTTTTTATTGTAAAAAATATTCTTCCCCCCAAATTTCTTCCTTCCAAATGGTTTTTCTTCTTTATTTACATCAGCTGGGGTAGTTTTAACATGTAATATAGAATATAAAGTTTCTGCCTCATTTTTGTTTTCAATTATTTTTTCTAGCTCATCCTATAAAAAAGTTCAATTTTAAGTAAACTATATTTAAATACATTATACTCGGCAAATAACAAGTCGACCGTTTACATTAGTGCAGGTTTATAAATGTAATATCAGCTTTTAGTACATATAACTATCTATTCTAATCATTTAATTATTAGTTTTATTCAATGTTATCTATACTCTATACATATAAATAAAATTGTAGTGTCTGTTTGTAATATTGAAATAACCGTTTTTTTACTACATCCATATGAATATACATATAAGCGATACATATACCAAAATAATATTTTTTGTCTGCGTGTTTGTCGCTCTGTTTATTCCGGTAATCGATAATCGATAATCTCTGAAATGGCTGGACCAATTTTGACGGGACTTTTTTAGCAGGTAGTTGATGTAATAAAGAGTAATATAGACTACTTTTATTTTAGAAAAATAAAGTAAAATTCCACACGGACGAAATCGCGGGAACAGCTAGTTATTAAATAGCAAATTAGCAGTTTATTTCTATATGCGTTAGTTATTTTTTATCATCGTGGATACTTACTTGGTTTAACGTTATTAAATGGTCTAGTGATAATCCTTTATTCATTATTCTTGATATATTTTTCGATGTGACCCCCGGTAATTTTTGTACAAAGTCATGAACCACTATATTATATCGCTCGTAGTTCATATCGTCTGCCGTATTATCACCACTGAGTGCTAAGGCATCTGCACTATTAGGATTATTTCTGCCTTGCTGTAATGATTTAACTGTTCTTTTATTTAATAAAAATGTTACCAATATAGAAAACTTTATTTTATGTGACTTGACTTGAAAGTCAATAAAGCTGACGGCACACCTACGGTAATTTTTCTGATACATCTCGACAATCAACGTCGGAATGGAACGGAAACAACGGAAGTCGCGTTGTTTCTTATATGTAGCTAAAGAGGTAAATTGAGTAGCTTAAGTGTACATATAAATGCCATACTTGGAAAATGAAAAAAAATATAAACAATTCCCAAGTACGGCTTCCTAATACGTACTAATTCTTAAGTTTATACTTTTTCATTTATGTATATTGTTAACAATCCCTAGTTTCAGTTAGTGTAGTAATCTGCCTAGAGGCTTACAACACGGTTTATCCGGGAGTTTTTACTCCTTTACATAATTGCTTAAAATAATAAAGATTTATGTATAAATAAATGAAGATTAATAAAGGTCTATGGATAGGAAGTTACCTTGAGTTCCAAAAACAGTTCAGCTGTGGCATATGGACTTGGTGACCATACTAGTTTCAATCTTGGAAAATGTATTGTGAGAAGCTGTAGTTTTTGTTGGATATCAGCTCCTGAGAGATCACTTGAGACTACAAAATGGCCCTAAATAAACATACAAATGAATATTAAATGTTAAGTAAAATGTAAACGAGAAAGAAAAGTAACATTTCTGCAATACGCTTTATTATACTAACTTGTAGGTTAAAAGGTTTATTCTGATCAAATTCTATGAGTAGTATCGGTCTACTATAATTTCGACACATCTGTGTGCATTGTGTGTACAGGCGTCCAGAATTTAGAGACCCAATTAAATCTGATATAGACTTTCTTTCGACACAAATATCCGGTGTGAGAATATAGTCACCAATCTGAAAAGATACGATAGATAGATAATGATGGGCACTAATGCTAAAAACCAAATTCATGGTTAATTTACCACGATGGGCTAAATGATCTGAGCTCATACTCATCTCATCGTCCTCCAGTAAACCTTTAATGTAGGCGGGTGGACGCCTACGCTAACGGGGTTCTATTATCATCCACATGAAAAATCAATACTAAAACCACGCAATGGTATTTCTTTTAGGTTTTCAGAAGGTATATGGGTTTTGCATAATATAATTTAGAAAACATTAATTCAAAATATAAAAGATGAATAACTCACAAATCAGGCTTTATAAAATTGTTTTTAATACAGTAACATACCACAATAGTGACAGGTTCTATGTTGATTCCTTTTTTATGAAGTAATGCTGGTAGATCCGAACGGAACTCCCTCATATCAACGATTACTAGAGGTTTTTCTTTCACAACTTGGCCACCTATATAGATTTTAAAATATTTTTTACTAAAATAAGTGATACGAGTTTTTATATGTTTTTTCGTAAGACTTTATTGTTTTTTCGTATTTACCTGCTTTTCTAGTATCTACAGTATCATTTTCATCTTCTACATTCAGATTAAAAAATTCTTCGGTCTTTCCGTCTTGATATGATGGCACCACCATTATCTAAAAGTATGTAATTATATTTACTTTAGTTTCATTATAGTATTAAATGTAGACGTAATTTATTGCCGTAATATGAATAACTTACACTTTTGGTTTCGATCAACAATTCGAATGCCTGTTTTTCTCTTCTCAACGAAGTAAGATAAGCTTGTTCTTCCACAGTTTTGTCATAAACTATGAAATAAACTTTACTAACCAATTCATCAGATCTTTTTCTAGATTCAAACAATTCGATTTGCCTTACAGCAGCCACATCATTGTGATATAATATTATGTAGTCGGGCCGTAAGGTTTCTAGTGTCTGCTCCAATGAAAAAGCATTACCATTTTCTTTGAAAGTTTGGATGCATATAATTGGTTTTTCAGTTTCTAATTGAGTTATGTCTAAATTATCAATCTGAAAATAATTCATTTCTTATAATCAAATGTAACTTACAAGTTAAAGTTACTATATGGAAGAATTTTCGCCTTACAGAAAACACATAATAATGCTGGTAACACACATAAATCATCATCAGCATTGCCTTGCCTTGATCCCGTTATTTGAGGTAGGTGAATGATATCTCTTTCAACTGATTACTATCAGCGGTTATATCTGAGCTTACTCTTCCATTATGCATATCATCTTTCACAATTCATCTACCTTATTTAAAATATATAATTATCATACGCAAAAAATATGCATATGGAATATACGTATAATAATAAATAAAATACCTGTAAACAATATCTCTTATTATATAACTTATTTATCACTGCAAAAAGAACTATAAGAATATGATAATAAAAAATACATACACACTTACTTGAGAAATAGGTTCAAATACAGTTTCATTAGATAAACATTTTGTCCCTTTCTTCTGAGAAGTGACTTGTGTAAGAGTTAAAACATAATTTGATTTTGATTCGTCTGCATCAAACTCTTCTTCACTCTCTTCCAATTCAGACTTCCTTACGTCATCTGTAACATTCTGCTTACTATTTGTTTTTATACTTTTTTCACCTTTATCTGTTTTGGCAGGTAATTTTTGTATTTTCTTATATTTGGCTGCAACTGTATTGATGGTTAAGTCTCTTCTAAAGGCCATATAAAATAAATACTTAGTGGGGTCCATAGTTAAATAGTGATTTAGTTGAGAGCATGTCCTATTGTCTTGACAGAGTATTAAAATTTTGGTATTATTGATGCTTCCACCTTCTTTCTTTTTTACCTCTTCTGGAATCTCTTCTAACAGCAAGTCACTAAGACACTTCCATTTTGGAGTAAATTCTGGATCAAATTCTAAAAGCAATGGTCACAGTTTTAAAGTTTATTAATATTTGATGAGATACTTTTAATGTAGCATACATACCTAACGTTATAGTTGTTTAAAATACTGCCTTTGGCCGTAGGCCGTGTTATGGCCGTGGTTTGATGCCCGAACAATTATTATCAAGAATATGTCTATTTGTATTTATTGGGTATTTATCTTCATACATATATTATTATGTATAATTAAATTTAAGAGATATTTATAAGGCATTCACTTCATGTAAGTACCTAATATACTTTTACTTTCTCAGAACGTGTTATTAGATATTACATCAAATCTCGTTTTTATCTTACTGCTTTTTAAGGCAATTAACAGACGTGGCGACGGCAAAACTTGTATATTTTAGTTATTTCCATAGCATTATGTCATATGGCATACTGCTATGGGGTAAAGCTGCCGATATAAATACTATATTTATTTTACAAAAGAGAGCCATACGGTCTATTTATGGTATGGGTTCTAGAGAGTCATTACGTCAATGCTTTAAACAATCAAATATCCTCACCGTTGCCTCACAGTACATTTATGAAAATATTATGTATACAAGGAAAAACTTAGATAGCTTCAAGAAACTTAAAGACTGTACAAGTAGAAACTTACGCAATAAAAATAAGCTAATTTTACCTAAATGCCGTCTACACAAAGTTAGTAATTCATTTTATGGTAATTGCGTAAGATTCTATAATAAACTGCCAGAGTCTACGCTAAATCTTACAGAGAGGCAATTCAAATCTTATATTAAACAAATGTTATGTAAAAAAGCCTATTATAAGATAGATGAATTTATAGATGATAGCAATATATAGCAAGAATAAGTTTATTTGCGGACAACGTTATAATTTTAATTTTCATACTGCTTTCTTGATATATGATAGCGTAGCGGCTTTTGTATTGATTGCCGCATGCATCCTTATGTAAAGTGCAAATACTGTAACTACTATATATATAGTAATTTTTGTAGCTGTGACGTGGTCGTGTGGAATGAGTAGTCATGCTCACTAAAATGTCCAGACATGTGGCGGCGTGGTGGGCCGGGTCAATGGGCTCCCTAAAATATGGTCGAGCGCAGTGATGGCTGGCTCATCCGTCATACTCGTGAACGAGTGCTGCTTGTAGGGACTGGTCTGCTCTTATCACTACGACTGATTTAATCTTATTGCATGATTATATTTGACCCAAAAAATTAGTGCTTGTTGGTAGTTTGTATTCACACGTTTCGACTTGTAAATGTAAACTTACAAGGATTATTTAAAAGAGCAACACACAAATTTATTTGCTCGTTCTTCTTGTGATGAGACAACTTTCCGAACGAGTGGTAGATAAAAAACAAATTGTTATGACTATTCAAAAGTGCTTAAATTAAGTTTATTTGAATAAATGATTTTCTATTCTATTCTATTCTATTTTAACTTAATAATTTATTTGTTATTATGAATAAACATATATTGCAAATTTTTATTTAAATAAAAATAATACCATTCTTATTATTGTACACTCTTGCTTTGGCTAGCCGAAACAATTGCTCTGCAGAATCTAGAAGAATCCACCCGGAATTCACTTTAGCATACTCAGGAGTCCTGTATTTGCTCACTAATGCATAAAATGACACTGAGTCATCATGAATCAGATTGCTAAAACCAAAAACATTATTATTGTTACTCACTGTTATATTTATTTACATCTTAGTCTCTACCTAAAGCCTAAAGAGAAAAAAAGAGTCATACATTATCATGCTTCTTAATACTTTAAGATCTTGAATGTATTCCTTTGTTCTTGTACTTAGCTGATGCCACACACAATCCAACTGCGATTGAAGTATTTTGTGAAACTTTTTTGTAATACAATTTTCTGTAGTAATTTCCTAGAAATATTTAATGTGTCAGTCAAAAAAAAATTAAAACTTATTTTGTTTTATTTATAAATATTTAAAATTAAAATAAATAAACACAAATTGTTATTTCTGGTATACATATATGAGATTTTATAATAAGTAGTTTGTAATAATAGTAGTAATAATAAAAATAATTTATTTTTCCTTGCAACCATTAATTAAATATAATGCTATTATTCCATTTAAAATATGCTGTGATATATAACCCACCTTCATGTCCAGTGTTCTATTGATGCATTTTAGTTGCTTTACAGTGTAGTTCATAATATCAAGGAGACATGTTTGTATGCTGCTCATATTGGTAGTTAGATTGACATGCAGTTCAACAACTTGTGCCTGTCTGCTCTTGAGGCATTTGATTATTGTGCCATGAAACCTTAAAATTAGTAATATTTATGTTTTATTTTGATTTATTATTTTAAAGAATGTAACACTAAAATAGTTACATACAATATTGTATTTACCTAGGCCATAAAAACAATTCAGTCACAAACAAAGCCCTCATAACTTTCTCTACTTGATGATACCCAAAAGTAAAGCTGATTGGAGAATTTGAAAATGCCTTGATAAAACCTGTCTGGAACAAGAAAGCACATTTATAAATTTATTCCACAAGCTTTCCAGATAACCGAATTGATATAGCATGCTTTTCCTTATTTTTTTACTAACATATTTCTCATAAGTTCCTGTATTTTTGTTAGGTACTTTCTTTGATCTGTCAGTATAAATCTAAGGATGATGTACAGTACTTTCATATTAGCTTATAATCAGTTTGTTTGTAATTATAATAGTATTATATATAAGTGTATTATATATTAACTATCATTCTCTTTCTGTCATATAAATATCTTATTACCATACAATAGTATGGAGAGAACTGTGTTTTATAAATATAATAATAATAAATAATTGTTTGAGAAACATACAACATCAACCATGAAACAAATTACAAACAAGTCTAAGTAAAATGTAGTTGTAACTGGTTTAGAGTTTCTAGATAGGATTATTACACAAAATTTCTAATTTTATAATAACACTTTAATTACAACATAATCCCATTATCTGATATGTATTATTTCTGAAGTCTCAAAAATTTGCTCTTGAACCTTCATATTTAATATATATTTATTATATATTAACTGTGGTTAAAGAGAGATAAGATAAATATTGTCAGACTTTGGGTAACTCACATAGATAAAAATTTGTTCTGTACCTTATTATTTTGTCTATATAATCTGAGAGCAAATGCTTCTTGGCATGATTCTAATACAGTATGAGCTCTCAGGACAATAATACCCGATACATGAGAGACGGGCACTCTGTTTTTTAATAAATCAACAACCAAAATTCTTGTCGACACAAAATGTACTCCACCCTCTAAGTAACTTTTTTCTCTGAAATATGCATTCTTAATATTAATGGAGAAATAGTTTTCAGGATGATATAACTTTACACTAAAATATATTTGAAAATTTTAAAATCATACTACAGTATGATTCATCATACCAATATAGTGATATTGGCAGGACAGGACTGAAATAAAATACAGCCACTTTCTGTTATTAATATAATTGTGAATGTTTATTAAGGTAGATCAGTGGTTCCCAATTAGTTTTTGGTGCATACCACTTCAAAAGACTTCAAACCATGCGTACCCCTTATTGTAGCAATCACACTAATATTTTAAATGCAAAAGTTTGTGAATGTGTGTGTATGTTTATTATTTCTTCAATATCTAAAAAGCCTGCAGGAACAAAACAAAGCGGGAACGGGTGGCGGGGGCAGCCAAATGTCGAGATACGGCAGGCATAGTGCTCTGTGGTTCGTTCTTTTACTATAATGATCATTATAAAATAATATTTTGGAAATTGTTCTTGTTTTTACTGATAGCTGCACATACCCCTTGATGCAACTTCACATATCCATGGGGGTACACATACCACTAATTGGGAAATACCGACATAGATGAATGGATGGTTTTTACACTTTAACACAACACTAGCATTTTGAACTAGTAGCTTGGAATAAAATTTGCTACAGACAGATGACTATAATTATCATAAAACAATCAGAAAGAAAGTGACCATAATTTATGTTCATAATTTTATAAGTCTATGGTGTCGCTTCAGAATACCATTACAGATCAGGAAAACCAACACTCAATCATAATGAATAACAATTGTTTCATAATTTTACCTTTCTGGTCCAAGATTAGGTAAGGGTGTGAGCCCAAATTTTTCCATAAAATGCTTTTCTTCATGTTCACTACTGTTTACTACAAGCACTAAATTTCCAGGGTCTTTATAAACCCACAATAGATTTGCTAATATATTATTATAGCTTATTCCCCTAAAAGCAAATTTATAAATATATTTATAAACATAATAGTGTAATATAATACATATGTTGCAACAGGAATAAAAAAAAACCCACTTAGCTAATATGAGGAGAGCATCCTTTTCAAATACATCAATAAAAATTTCCTTTTCAAAAGGTAGTAGAGGATACTTTATTACAACATTGGAAGGAAGATTTTCAACGTCGTTTTGATCCGTATTATTAGATTCCATTGCTGAAATTAAAAAGTATTACTGTTGTGATATTAATTGAAGGTAGAACAAATATTTTTGTTCCCATATAAAAAATAATATCAAACTTTTGAAATCACAAAGCAGTAAGACTTTAGACACTAATTACTAATACTACATTACATTAAATCTTACGAAACTGCTCTGTGCAGGTGAGTGAGTGATTGAACAATCTAAATCTGCCAAAAGAAGAAAAAAAAATCTAAATCTGTGTAACTAGTATATTCTTTGCTAGGCAGTATGGGCAATGCTCTCACCTGCCCAAATTGGACGAATTTTAAAACAACAACAACACCTAAATCTGTATACACAGATTTAGGTGTTGTTGTGTATATACTCTCAGCTTAATGTTAATAACCTTAGGCTCAGCGTAACTAAGGGTAAAGTAATACATATATAGACATAAATTCTCGTGTCGTAATGTTAGTTACCATACTCCTCCGAAACGGCTCGACTGCTTTTTATGAAATTTTATATAATCTCTAAAGGTTGTCAACCCTTGATATTTTTTTTATTTCTTGCACAATTTTTATTATTATTTTTTTATAATGTAGGATTAAAAAAATGTAATTCTAAATTTTAACCCTTCTATCACCAACCTCTATTTTTTAATACCGATTTTAATATCGCAAAACAAGGGGGCGGGGTCAACTAGTATTATTATTGAGTAACACAGTAATTAGACGTGATTAAACGAAAAGGTGTATACGCTCACTCTCAGTGGTTATTTTGTAAAAGCGGCGTTATACTAGTTGTTCACACGACTTCATCCGCACGAAATTAAACTTTAACTAAAAGTTATAGTAGCCTAAATTACTCCTTATTACAACAGCTACCAGCCAAAAAAATTCCTGTCAAAATAGGTCCAGCCATTTCAGAGATTAGCCGGAACAAACAGGCAGATAGATAGGCAAAAATTCTAAAAAAAAATATTTTGGTGTATGTACCGTATTTATATTCATATGCATGTAGTAAAAAACGGTTATTTCAATATTACCAAATGTTATTTATATGTATAAATAAAAGAATTGAATATTACAATAAATTATTAAAGTACGTTAGTCAAAAATTACTAAAACATTTTTTCTTTTCCGATTATTTTGGATTCCGATGCACATGAACATAAAATCAATATAGTTTTCTGTTTAGAAAAAATATTTAAATTTTACTGAAATTAATATTAAATTTTAACAAATTTATGTTTTATAAAAAAATATTGTATAGTGAAAGTAGCTTTGATAATTGCTACTCGAGTAATCTTTGTACGACTAACAAGGAACAATGGACATCTCTATAGTTGATGGAGGGGATGCGTCAAATGCGTGAATCGGATCACAGACGCCGGAAATTGCGCCATTTTGTGAAGTCTACGTAGCTAGTGTAGCTACCTAATAACCAGCTACGTTTTATATTCATCTATCTAAGATTTCAATCTTTATTTAATAATTTTATTATTGCATTACACTGCATTCAGGTGAGTATGTTTATATTTAATATTAACCACCTAAAGTAATCAGTTTTTGGTATCACGCCGCAATCTAAGTTTTAATTGATGATTATTTCAGCGGACATGCAAGCCATGAATCAATATCATAGAGGGTTTGGAGGCCCACCTCAACCTCAAAGACAGGGTAATCGAAGAGGAAACAATAGGGGAGGTTTCCGGAATAATTCTAGATTCGAGCAAAATCAAAGGAACCAAAATCATGGTCAAGGAGGTCAACGTCCCAATAATGAGGTAAATTACTTAAAAGCAGTAATTTAGTACTGAAAAGTTAAACATATCTATTTATATACTTATATTATATAATAGTTTGAGAATGTGGAATGGAATATTTAAGCCCATAATAATTAAGATGACGCTGGCTATGCACTCGGCCATCTTGGATAACTTTTTATTTTCTGATATTTATTTCACTGGTGTACAGGTGTATGAAAGATATATCAGAAATTTCCGGCCATCTGTAGCTCAGAATTATTTTATTCTAGTTCATCTGGTTGGTCAAAATTTAATTCAATAGATTTGACCTACGTCTGGTTTATGTGGTAAATTATTCACCGGTTAATCTATTAATGCTTTTATTGTGACTTGAGAATATTATAAAACTTTGTTGCAAGTATCTAATAATATACATCTAGATTTAAACAAAACTATGCATTAAAACTAATTTGAACAGATATTTGTAGCATATTCCTGAATTGGGTCACAGATGAGTCATTCATAAACCATTGTTTCCAATGGACAGTAACGTAATTGCCTAGAAAATAAGATATAGGTATACTTCACATCTGAAGTACATGTTCCATCTCGAGGGAACCAGTATTATGCTAAACTGATCTATCAACACTCAACCAGATGCAATTTATGAATCTAGCTAAAGTTATCATGATGATAATATCTCATAATAAGTGTACTCTAGATGTGTAGGTATGTCTTCCTGTCTTTGGGTTCATTACAATATATTTACTCAACATTGTCAGTATTAAGTCCTAATGCATTTTATTAGAGTATTCTATAGTTAATCAAAGCAATATCTACAGACGATCAATCACTGTCCCATGCTTGAAATTAGTATGAGTTTACAGTACAAGTAATACACAAATTAATCTCTATCCTATGCTCAAAATTAGTAAGAGTTAATAGTACAAATAATACACAAATTTCTGGTCAATCATTTACCATTTGGTATATGTTATAATTCAAAGAGTTTTGAGTATATTAAAGAGGCTCTATTAACTGTACAGATAGATAAAATTGAAGTGTCTGTTGAATTTCATGATAACAGCTTCTCATTAAATACATATGAAAGAACATTTATTCTTTGGGTAAATATGACCATCTTTAAATTGGCTTCGGAACTGTCTTCTCTCCTCTCGAAAGGTTATCTAGAAGAGCTTATGTGATAAGAGCACCTTAATATTGTTACTCTATTTTATGTTATTTGTAATATACTTTACTCTTTAGAGTAAAGTATATTATTATATATATTATTATACTAAAAAAATTAATAAATGACCTATTTCTGATGTTCATCTAAAATTTTATTTAATTTTTTTTTAATGGTAACAGGTAAAACAAAACCAGGCTCAAGAGAAACCACAGCAGCAGCAGCAGCAACAGCAGCAGCAACCCCCACACCAACAAAAACCATTGCAACAGCAACAGGCACAACAGAAACCTGAAGTTGCTGTGAAACAGTCACCACAGCAACAACAAAAACCACAACAAGCACCCCAACAGCAGCCCAAACAACAGCCTCCACAACAACAACAACCCAAGCAGCAGCCACCACAACAACAACCCAAGCAACAGCCACAACAACAGCAGCAGCCGAAGCCTATACAGAATATCCCTAAGCAGGATTCTCAAGATAAAGTGGATAGAGTTTCTAACATAGACCAAAACAACCAAAATATAAATCAGAATATACCCAACAACCAAAATCAGCAACAGAAGGTTAGTTTTAAATTTTAGGAATAAATACTTTTTTTTTATCAAATACATACTGTATTATTATTATTCAGAATAACCACAGTAAATTAATCATTATGACATATTTTGTTCTAGAATATTAACGGTAATTTTAGTGGCAATAGACAAGGAGGTAATTGGCAAGGAGGACCAGGCAATAAACACGGCGGCAATAACTTTATGCAAGGGCAAAACAAACAATTTGGACAGAGAACTGGTGGCCAAGGTGGTCCTGGTGGTCCCGGTGGTCCTGGGGGTCCTGGGGGTCCTGGTCCTGTTCGTAATCAACAGAGAAATAACAATCGTGGCCCCTTAGGACCTGATGGGAAGCCAGTCCAAAGAGAAGTAAATATTACATGTATTCTATATATTTCTATATTATCTTATTATTATGTGAATAAAATTGAAATAAGTTCTGTTCTCCTTCTTTTGCAATAATGTAATTAACCTACAATGTGTTTATTAGATGTAACTTTGGCCATTATTATATATTTATCTATTTTCATCATTGCTATTAAACTCATGTCCGTTCCATTCCCATAAAGTATTCTTAAGTCATTAAGGGCCATTTCTAGCTCCAAATAAAAACTTTATACTGAAGAGAAGTTGTCATGGGAAATAAATAGGTTAATTTTGTTACTCACATAAGTTAAATAATTTTTAGGAACAGATGTTAGCAAATAAGTTGAAGGATTTGGTTGGACCTCTATTGGATTTGCCTGTAATAGACCAGTCAGAAGTGAAGTTTAATGGTCGAAGCCGTTTGTACATTGGTAATCTTACTAATGATGTAACAGAAGAGGAAATTTTGAATCTTTTTAATCCTTATGGTGAAACAGCGGAATTATTTCTTAATAAAGAAAAGAACTTTGGATTTATTAAAATAGTAAGTACCTCACTACAATTTGTTTATGACATATTATAATGTAAATTTTTTTTTAATGATGTTTTATTTTAATAGGATTATAGAGTAAATGCAGAGAGGGCAAAACGTGAGTTGGATGGCAAAATGAGAAATGGAAGAACACTTAGAGTTAGATTTGCTCCACACAATTGTGCTATTCGTGTAAAAAATTTGCCACCATTTGTCTCAAATGAACTACTCTACAGAGCATTTGAAATATTTGGAAAAATTGAAAGGGCTTATGTCAGAGTTGATGAGAGGGGGAAAACACTTGGTGAAGGAGTAGTTGAATTTGCACGAAAACCCAGTGCCTTAGCTGCCATTAGAAATTGTACTGAGAAGTGTTACTTCCTGACATCGTAAGTGATAATATTTTATTAAATTATTTGAACTTGTATAATAAAAAACGAGGTATTTCAACCAACATATTCATTTTTAGATCACTTCGCCCCGTCATTGTAGAGAGTTTTGAGGAGCCAGATGAGTTTGATGGCTACCCAGAAAAAAATCTGCCCAAGAAACATCCCGAATTTCTGAAAGCACGAGAGGTATATATAAAGTTATTTTATTTATTTAATCATTATAATATTATTTAGGTATTGCATTATATTTATTATATGCTCTTTTGAATACATAAAATAGACATCTGACTGTAATGTGGTGGTCATACACTTCAGCTGAAGATACTGAATTGTAATAGTTAAAATTTGGCGTTTGATAAAAATATACACTGACCTTATATACTATAAGTTTAAAGTACATTTCAGTCATCAATCAAGTCTTCCCATTATATTAGAATATGTTGAATAATAACAAGAAGCAGTATTAATTTAAATTTCATTATTACACACAGGTTGGACCACGGTTTTCGGAAACAGCGAGTTTTGAGCATGAATATGGAACAAGATGGAAGCAGCTGCATGAACTCCACCGGCAAAAGGAAGAGGCTCTCAAAAAGGAGCTGGCTGCTGAAGAAGAGAAGTTGGAAGCTCAAATGGAGTATGCTAAGTATGTAATGTAAAAATGTATTAAAATTCCAGTGTATCCTATTTATTTCTATTACAATGGACAACTAAAGTAGTTGGACAATTCACAGCGTTAACACACACAGTCCTAAGTTAAGCAGAGTTTGTGTTATGGGTGAGAGGATTACTTATTTTTCTGTATATAGAAAACAGCCAGATAAATACAAATGTCTGTAATTGATCATGCAAGTAATCGAACACAGGGCAATCAGAATTAGAAGTAAGCCGTTAAATTGCCAGAGCATTCAAGCCATCAAGTTCCATTTAAACTTAATATTGTTCCTAGAGAATAAAAAAAAAAATAGAAAGATGTTATTAACTTGAAACTATACAATATTAAGTTATCTAGTTACTTAGGTAAAAGCTACATACATCTTTTATTGACTTGACAAAATTGCAGTTATTTTTTGTGGAAATATACCTAAAATAATAATTACAATGTAGGTATGAGCATGAGACGGAGTTACTGCGCGAGCAGCTGCGGCAGCGCGAACAGGATCGTGAGCGTCAGAAGCGCAGTTGGGAGATGGCCAGTGCGGCGGCAGACCAGCGCCGCGAGAGTGAACGCGTCCAACTCATGCGCCAGGAGGAGGAGCTCTCGCAGAAGATGCGCCTGCAGGACGACGAGCTACGTCGCCGCCAACAGGAGAACACGCTCTTTGTACAAGTATGTATATGTCTATCTGTAAAATATGTTTAACGTAACTTTTAGCAACACACAACCACATTTTGGTTGTGTTCTTCTAGCAGTGGTAATTCCAAACTGATACAATATTGACACCTTCTAGAAAAAAGTTTACTCCTTCGTAAAAGGCCTGCAATGCACTTGCCATTCCCCTGGTGTTGTGGGTGCTCATGAGCGACGGTAATTACTTGCCTTCAGATGAACCGCAGAGTTCGTTTGTCTATGCTATATAAAAAATTAAATAAATATCGGTTTTTGTTTTGTAAATATCATGTTAACTTTATAAATAGTTTTTGTATTTATAACTTTATATTATACATTTTTAGCATCTAGCAGTAATAAAAGTCTTATTTCATTTGACGCTGTTAAATTTATAATTTAATAGAGTTCTAAAATGTATTTATATCTTTAGGCGCTTTTTAGAACCACTCGTAATCATTTGAATTATGGTTTTATTAAGTAATATGTACAAATTAAAATATATTGCTAAGTTTACATATGGTATAAGAATATCAGATTAGTTTTCACATTAATTTATATTTTTTGTTTGATAAATGGACTGATTTTGAATAATGCACAAGTTGAATATGTGTATTATAAAAAAAATATTAATAAAATAAATGAATATCAGTTGCTTGGTTTATTAGGGTTGAAATTATTTTCTTTATTAGTATACATCTGTGAAGATGGGATAGACACCTAGTGTAGATTTATCTATTATTGAATTTTAGTATATTTGTATAACATTTTGCAGGCCCAGCGACTCAACTCTATGTTGGATCGCCAGGAACAAGGCATGTTTGACCAGCAACAGCAGCCAATGGTAAGTTCAATTTTGTTTATAGTCTGACATAAAAACTATATTCTATTATTTTTATGAAGCAGCCAATTGACTTCTTTTATAGTCGACTCAGTGCATCCGCTGATTATCAACTTGAAAAATATTATTGTTAATCCTTGACAGTAAATACTTTTTCAGATTTCTTTTATGCCTACACTGTAGTAGATTTGGATTTTCAATCACAGTTACGAGTATATATGATAATATATTTGTCAATAATACATACATACAGATACATCAATAATAAAAAGAGTTCTATTTAAGTATACATCTAGTTTAATATGAAGCACAGTTCATATTATTTGTACTACCTAGACTTTTTAGTGGCATTAGAACTAAATGAACATTATGATTTCAGCATATCATTGTAATTTGTTTATTAAAAAGGAAATAGATATGTTTAGTTTCGTGGTTATTTACCGATTACTGATCAACAATAATATTTGAAGTTTGGTGAACTGCCGATACTGCTCTGTGGTTACGACAAATTATCTTGTCTAACTGATATTTTATCTATACCTATCTAAATTAATTTGGATAACCCATTTTTTGAGAACAAAATCCAGTCACTCATTTGCTTGAGATTTAGACAAATTGAATAATAGACAAACCTGTGAATATTTTGCATCATTATTTTAATTGATGTCTGACACAAATATAATAGCAAGTTTTATTACCAAGACACACAATACATTAATAATAATAACAATTACAGTACATACGCTCGCTGCATACCAGTTATGTCATTAGGTTTTCCTGTACTCCAGGGCAACATACTTATTGTATAAAATCTTTTTAATAACTACGTCATAAAAAAAATTACATCGATTTTAAAACTCTAATTGTATACGGGGAGAACTGACCTTCATTGCAACTTTTTTTTTTATCAAGCATACATACTTTGATATTGTGATATGACAAATCACTCAATTGGTTGTTTTATATTATACAATATAGAGGTCTAACATGTAGTGGATATATTAGTTGCAGGTAGGCCGACCCATTTTTTCACCAATAAGTATATAATATAATAATTTGCACTTAGTTCCCATTTTCTATAACTATAGTTTTTTAAATATTATATGGTCATTTATGAAAATAACCACTTCTTAAATATAAACCTTTTATTACATATCAATCATGGACTGGTTCGCTAATCCTACGTGGATCATCGGTTGCGCTATTTTCAATACTTATCGATTAAACACATGCAGACACTAATAGATATTTTTATTAGTTTTGAAGGTAATCGTACTGGCTGGATATAAATAATCTATGCTTACTGATTTCCCTCTTTTCAATCCCTCGAAACTATATTTACTATTTTTGAGATGCAAGAATTACCTATCACATTTGAAAAAAATATAGCATTTGGCAAATATCACAATAATATATTCTACAATAAAATTGGTATTTCTTAGTAGAGGATCGAAGAGAAAGATGGGTTATAGTGAACTCTGCCACGACGAATACGTACGTTTATTATTTACTAGCGATCTGCCCCGGCTGCATTACAAGCTGCATCTTTAAATTTCACAACTTTTCTGTACTTTATGCATATGCTTTATTACGTATTGTAAGCGTTTACTATTATTACCTTCACCTGAAACGTGTAGATCTTCCTCTTTAATCACTCTATCTATGGTTGAAAACTGCATTAAAATCCGTTGCGTGAATTAATTGAGCTATTCCACTTGTTCAGTGGAAAAATAACTGCATTTTTCCACTGAACAAGGGGAATGGAGTTTATATTTATATTATTGTTAGGAAAGAAATTATTTTGTTACTCAATGTAACTAATAGGATCTGATCTATTCAGATTTGAATAAAATTTTCTGCAAAATTAGACCGCAATTGGTTTAAATTTAGAAAACAAACTTTCTCAAAATTTGTTCTACTTTTACCCCGTTGTAGGTACTTAACAGTAATGGTAAATATCTCTATACATTTATTAAAACACAATATCTTTTTTTAATGTAGGTCTATTACAGACTCTTATGATATATCAGAATCTACCGTCAGTTCGGAGTGCATTCGACCTAAGAACTGACAAGAAGTTTTTATTTTATAGCTGCATTAATTTTTATTTAAACTCTAGATACTCGCCTCGGTTTCGTCCGGGTGTTCATGTTTCATATGTATAAACCATCCTCTAAAATCACTCTATCTATTTAAAAAAACCGCTTCAAAATCCGTTGCGTAGTTTAAGATTTAAGCATACATAGGGACGAACAGACAGCGACGTTTTATACTATCTAATGATTATATTATTGTATTATTCTATTTATAAGAGAGCTCGAATTAAATAACTTGATGAAAGAATAACTTGGTATAATAGAAACCTAGTTTTATTAAAATAATGGTTACCAGATAATTAGAATATATGTATCACAGGATATCTTAGTACAGGTTCCGTTCTTTTATTTACTTGCTGCTGTGTATGTATATTTAGCTATTCCGCATAGAAATGTTTCTTTTATACAAATAGCAATAAGTAAATAGAGAATCGTTAATTTAATAAATAAACATAATCAAATATAGTTAGTAGAGTCCTAACACAAATAACTTTATGGTAAATATTTATATTTATGATAAATTTATTTGATTCGATGTTTCGACTAGGTTGCACTAGTCGTCATGACCAGACTGTATTAATAATGTATACATATTTATTCATATACGAGCTTATGTGTCTCTTTATAAATTTTATTAATGACGATTGTGGGAATAATTTATTCCTATTTTAATTTTTTCTTTAGGACTCCTGTTTCTTTCGTACCTATATATAACTTATAGATGATTAACGAAAGACAATATATTGGTTAACATATCTTATTGCACTTCATTGATTGATTTTAATAAATTGTAACAGCTACAAAGTTATAAGGAGACGTCATTTGAATGACGATTATGTATCTATACTAGTACTAGTATAGAAGCCAAACACGTTAAGACCTCGTCTGCTCGCAATTATAGTTATACCACTACTGTTGGATTTATGTATTGTATAATTATATACGTTTTATAAAATTACTTATTTATGAAATATGAACTAGAAATTGTTTATATCGTCGCAATGCAAAAGCGAGAGAAACGTGCTTATTAAATATAAAATTGAGTTCTATACAGGATTTATATGTGTCGTTTGTGTCAATTGTTTGGTTTTATATATTATATTTACTAACTTTCTGTTAGAAGCAACGTTAAAAGCTGTGGTTTTTACTTAATTTGTACTTTGAACGATAGTTATAGTAGCAGTGGGTTTATTTTTAACAAACGTACAAATATGTCAGTTTCTTTATTGATTAAATTTATAAATGTTTTTATCTAGAATTTATAATTGTTTTCAAAAATAAGGATATTAATTATTTAGAAGGTTTATTCCACACTCACCATTCAATCAGTATTATTAAAACTTAGATTTAAACACTTTTACTCTACTTATAACAAAAGTATTTATGAGGGTAATAGTTTAAAAGATTAATGTTGGATGTGATGTGATAAATAATTTAGCCAAGTATATATCTTAGTATTATTATTTTACAAAACATGGATTGACTACGTACAATAAGACAAAAAATTAAAATATTTTTGATATAAATGTGAGACTAGTTTTACGATTGATTTTATTTATGGAAATTAAATATGTAATCTTTGACGTCCAAAGCCTCAATGTTCTTTGGTTTACAGGGTTTTAGCATATTAATAATAAATTTAAACCACAATCAACATATAAAAAAGGATATATGAGTTGGCTTTAGAATTTGGTAAAATTAGTATACCTGTATTTTTTGTTTGATTTTTCATATTTGCATTTGAATGAAGTGAAAACTATTGGCAAGTATTATGATTTACTTAGGATGGAGGCTACAGAGACCAGTACGACATGCCGCGCGGAGGTTATGATGACATGCCGCAGGGACGCGTTTGGGACGCGCCCCGTCAAATGGATGATTTTCCTAACAAACGTCGCCGTTTTTAAATTACATTCTTGTAACCAGCCTATTACGTTAGGCATATCTATTCCACCAGTGGAATCAACACAAATCTGAATCTATATTTTTAATGTATCAAGTCGTTGGTTAGGCTCAAATATAAGGACGATTCTATTTTAACTATACATTATTAAGTGTACATTTTATTACTACCGCGTTTTGGTGTTCTACTGTCACTTCATATGATTTTTTATTGACATGACATTTTCTATATTATCCCAATATTTGTACTAACCGAAGGCTTTTAGAATTGGCAGTTTAACTATTGAAGGCGTCAATGTTTTATGATTTAGACTTAAGCTGAGAATAGATTTTCTTTATCAGAAAAAAATGAAGTTATTACGGGATTATAATTTATTTCAAAATAGTTGTAAGTCAGCTCGGTTGACCAACGGAAGATACGTACACGATATATCTTAGAATAATTTGTATTATATTTTGAAATGTTCTCATAATTGTACATTAAGTATTGGATTAACCTTGGAAATCAAGTCAGTATTGAAATTTCTTTTCTTTTTCTGGAATTTCATTAACTTGTTATGAAAATAGAATGAAATTTTACCAATTTTGCTTTTTGGTGAAAATATACAGCTACGTCTATATAATTATGAGTTACGTTCATCTGCGTTTAGTAGGTACTACTAACTATTTTAGTAAAGTTAATGGATAATAAAAAAAATATCCCAACCTAAAGCACATCGCTCCATTATATTTAATTCTTTTATAAACTACCACACTAATAATTAGATATATAATGCCATCCTCCACCGTTCGTTGTTTAGAGTTATTGGATGATTGTCTTGGTTGTATAATCATCACTTATTCATTTTGGGAGAATGGTTGATTATCACTTGATTGAATGGGAATTTGAGTAATTATTTAATACATAAAAGGACGTAAGTATGTCCATTTGCAGTATTGCTAAATATACAGTCATATAATTGAAAATATCACAAATAGTACGTTTTTATGTCTGAGTTTAGGCTTCAAAATGACCATCATAACAAAAAACCCATGGAATACTTTCATAAATAAAAATGCGTGTCATTTAACTTGGATAAAGTATGCATTTGTGTTGATTTTTAGGGATTAAAATGTATTTGTCTTTTAGTGTTTAATAATAGTCGAATTAAAAGGGAAATAGAAATATGTAACTAAGATATTTACGTAGTTTTTAAATTTAAAATTATTATGTTTATGTCACTAAGCTGTTTAAAATCTCTTGAAATAACAATGTTTACATAAGAATTTTCTTTCTGCATTAGAATATAGGTAAATAGTTACTTCGTTTTGTCCGCCGAAACGTGAAACGTGTTAAAACATCGTTTTAATTAATATACTTTATAATGTATCTTTAAGTAAATTTATTTTGCTTTCTGCAATATTGATGCTTCCCGGTGTCATGTTTAAGATAATACTTATTCATTTATTTGTACCATTAATAGTATAGTATAGTTAGTTTATTAATTTTAATTCAGATATGAGTTCGTACGTGTGAACATTATTTATAAATTTCGTATAATTAAATGTATATCGAAATAAACAAAATTTTAGCATTAAGTATTCTTGAATTCTTATTTTGAAAAATCCTTATATTAATTTTTATTTAACCTACACAAAATGCATACCAGATTGTTTTTTAAAGAATTATTAAGCTTAATCGTAACTTCTAAATAAATAACTTTTAATATATAGTTATTATACCTTATATTGCTTAATAATCTATGTGGTATGATACTACCTCGACTTTGAGTTCACGGTTTGAGATAATGAAATAGCCCATTATCTTATATTTTATTATGATTTATTAGAATATTCTTTTGTATTATAAATATAACCATCGATAATTTCTATAAATTACATACCCCGCACTATTCACATAAATCAAATATATTTTAATGAACTTAAGACTTCGAGCATTATCAAAAGGGCTCAGTTGCCATAAACAATACAATAACAATATTGACTAAGGACCAGATAGCTGGGATGACGTTTCTTTCCGGAATTACTTGTCAGATTTAAGACAGAGAATAATGCTTCATATTGATAGAGAATTAAGTCAAGTTTCAGAAAAACACTTTGAAATACTATTTAGAATACATTGAAAATAAATTAGTATTTTTATCATGTGTTAATTAATTTATAACACTTGTGTTGGACATCTTAATAATGGGACTGGACAATTCACACAGTGCGATCTAGCCTTAGGCCAAGCAGAACTTGCGACGTGGTGGTACTAGACAAAATAGAAATACTTAAATACATTTGTGTTGTTATTGCAGCTGATTTTTTGGAAGTCGGTACGTCTTTATCAGCTGTTGAATAGAAAAAAATATATGCCACGAGGTATTAACTCTGCAAACATAATTTGCAAGGTCAAGAAATAATTAACCTAAAACGCTTTTCTGTATTGAAAGTTCAAATTGCTCTTAAAATTATACAATATCGGATGAAAATCATGGGAGCAAAAAGAATACCCACAGCAATGCTTTGATTATGCAAACTCATTATGCGTTTTCTAGGTATATTCAGAGTTGTGGAAAAAAGGCGGGAGCATCTCTAATTATATACTGATACTAGCTGTCCCGGCAAACGTTATTTTGCCATAAAATAAAAAAAAAATTTAGGGGTGGACTACCCCTAACATTTAGGGGGATGAAAAATAGATGTTGGCCGATTCTCAGACCTACTCAATACGCTCACAAAATTTCATGAGAATCGGTCAAGCCGTTTCGGAGGAGTATGGGAACGAAAACTGTGACACGAGAATTTTATATATAAGATTTGAATAAAAATAATAAGCTATAAAATTCAACACTATAATTGTTGGATTTTCAGCTTACCTTTCTTATGCAGTATCTAAGGTAATGCAATTACTTTTAAAAGAGTATTCTATCAATGATCTGATTATTTCTTTGACATGTACACAAATCAACAGGGGTTTTTATTTTGGGTAGATTATAATTCTTATTTTTAATATTAAATCAAGCATGTTTTGAATTGATGTAATCACGAACATCAACGTTAGACAATATTAAATTTGTTTCAGGGATGCTATCACATCATACTTCTACATGCCTGATTATTATGGCTTTTGGTTTTTGAAAAATCTTAGAAACAAAAGATTATGAACATATTTAGGCAGACCACATTTAATATCTTGCATGCACCTTATTTTCTATTTGGTGTTATAATTTATTTTAATTTGTTGTATTCTGTGACTTTTCTTTACCTAAACGAAAAATAATGTAGCTACTTATAATACGATGGTCGAAAAGAAGTTATAATAATGCAAAAGACGTTTCACATGTTTCTTAATGGACAATACAGAGCTCTTAATGTGGTCTAAAGGTAAATCAAATCAACTATTATAAACATCATTCTAAACAATGTTCATATGTTATCATAATTTCATGACTTTATTTAAATTCTTCTGGTAGAACGATTGATTGATACTTCATCTGTGGTCAATTCTGTTTTTTTATTTATGTATTGTCACCCACCGGCAATATGTTACAGACTATTTGTATCAATGCCGATAACAATGGCGACAATGATCATCAATTTCAATCAACATCAAATAAAAATTGTATATATACTAAATAGCAGTATTCTACTTTAGACTACGTAGACTTTATAATCAATCGTCTCCGTGAGTACTACTGCCTTTGTATTCCGATTTCAACTGCTAAGCAGCTGGTTTTGTAAGCTGCGTTTCGGTTGAACGATGAGAGATTGAAATTAAAGGATATGAGGCATGACATCTTAGTACTGCGTTGTTGGTTCATGAGTGGTATCACGGACGTCACTTGAATAACGGTTGTCCGTATTACTGTTCCATGTATAGAAGACGGTTGCCACTTGCGTCATGTGGGCCGTCATCTTATTTGCCATTCCATATTGACGGAATAAAAAAAAAACGGTGTAAAAATATAATAGGACACAAACAAAACAACTTTGTTGGCCAAAGATTGAATACAAAAAATAGACTAGATGAAAAAATTCTTCAATTTTATTATTGATGGTTTGGTGTTCCAAATGTTATTGAGAAAATATTCGTTATTGACTACACTTATAATATTTATTTTAAGTGAGGTGCAAATTCACAGGCTACCTGATTCTATTCTTAAAAAGAGAACAGAATCGGATTAATTTGTTATATATTTGATTCTGAATCTTGTTTTTTGGATTACTTACAGATCCGTATAGGTCGTCCATTTTTTATTCCATTTTAATCTTTCCGGTTTCTATTCTGTTCATAAAAACAAAGTATTGAGTAATATTTGACCACCTAAAATTGTAATGGTTATTTATTTATTTTTTGTCTTATTAATTTTTTAGCGATATTTCAGTATTAATTGTGGATTATTAAAAGTGTAATAATGATAAATTATAAAATGGAATAAATTTGGTTCAGTTGTTTTTGTAATGATAATGATATTTAATGTGTGGAGCGTTTGTTATTTTAAATACCATTTTATGTTGTATTCATGGAATATAGAAATGTTGAGTGTCCGATTTGGGGAACGGATATGGAATTGTATACTTTGTGAGTCGATGTGAACACAAAACCTTTTTGCCTCATGAATTTTTACCTGAGCTGCATATTGTATACCTACGTAAGTTGTGGGGCACGAAAATATTGTTGTCAAAATATGCATTCAGACAATGCATATTTTCCATTATATGCGCAGCAAAAATTCCAATTCATATGAAAGAAAAAAGGCTCTTTTTTCGACCTGTTCGAATGTTGTCGGCCGTAACTGGCCATTATAAATTTAGCGAAATCTAATAGAAGGTCAGTCGTAAAGAATAAAGGTGATAACAATAAATTCTTAAGACTAAAACGATATGTTTAGTGTAGTGTATATAATGAATTTTCCAATTTGATTCATAACTAGTGTGTTATAATCATTAGTGTAGAAAATCTAAACTAATTTTCGCAATTAACGACAAACAAGTAGAAGGTCAGTCGTAAAGAATAAAGGTGATAACAATAAATTCTTAAGACTAAAACGATATGTTTAGTGTAGTGTATATAATGAATTTTCCAATTTGATTCATAACTAGTGTGTTATAATCATTAGTGTAGAAAATCTAAACTAATTTTCGCAATTAACGACAAACAAGTTAATAGTCAACGTGATTAAAGTATTCGTCATCTATTGGCAATTAGACATGTACAATACATTGGATACCTTAGGATGGGATAAATTAGTGTCTTACGAATATTATAAATGCGGAAGTTTGTGAGTGTGGATGGATGTTTGATACTCTTTTATGCGAAAAATGTATTTATTGTAACTTACTTTACGGCTATAAATTTTACGCGGGTGAAACGCGGCACAGCTATTATTACTATATTTAACATAGGTTTAGCAATTTGCATAGAAATAGCAAATTTTTTTATAATGTTTGTTAAGTAAAACTCCTAAATATTTGCTGTTGGCAGTCCACAGTTTTAATTAATTGGCAAGAGCTCAAGGGAAGGTAACAAAAAACCACAACCCTGAGCAATGTTTTTGGGTCATGCTTATTCATAATGTCGTACGTAAACTTATTTAATTGAATGGAGTGAAAAAAAAATTTAAATTATTAAATCTTTAATGTATAAGTAAAACATGCTTGGTCTAACTGATTAATAACGTTTTAATAAACACATGAAATATTCAGATGTACTGAGACTCAGCAAAAACACTAAAGATGTAGATTACGTAACTTCAACAATACCACCAAATAAAACAGTGGAAGAAAAACTTTAATCCTGGTTGGGTTAATAAATATTTATATTTAATTGAATATTTTGCCTTTATGAACCAAGTAGTGTCCACTAAGAAATAATTTTATAAAATTCCAATGTATACATATATGACGAATTTTTAATATTTATAAAAAGTTTGGCAATTATTAGGAACATTCAAGTTAATTCAATTTTCGTTTTCATTCTGTAAACGAGACTAACATTGTTTGCAATTCTGAAACAAATGCGCTAAATGATATAATGTTTTGTTTCAATGAAACTATGAGCACGAGGTAAGTGTAATTATGTACATATTGTAGAAAAGAATGCCATAATATTTATTTGATGATAACGTCGGCCGATGAACGATAGAACTTAATAGAAGGCGCCAAAAATGGTGAAGGCTGAAATATTTTTCTTTGTTTTTTGTATACTCTTCTCTTTTACTCAGTATATTTTATTTTATTTTATAATAAAGGGATAATGCAGTGTAGAGGCCGTCCATTAAATACGTGAAGCTCGAATTGAGCAGGGGGGGGGGGCAATAATTACGAAATATCAAACGTTGGATTTCTAAACTGAAACTGCGGCGTTTAATGTCCTGAACTTGACTACCAC